GATCTCCACATTGATGATGTCTGGCGAAGTGGTCGAAGGCTTCGCGCGGAAGGCCATCTTTGTAAGAAGAGTACAGATCTCGGCGGGGCTGAGGCTCAAGCCACAGCACTGGTTAATGTACGAGACTTCAGCTTGAGCAGTGCGGGGAGCAATGTCGGGGGTGACGCGAGTCTCCTTGTTGTGCTCAGACACAATCTGGACAGGCTCAATGGTGAATGGCTCCAAGGTATATTGGGAGAACATGGTGACCATCATCTTGTTGACAATGTCCAGCTTTGTCTTGTCGAGAGCTGTGATCTCAATCAAAACATTGGTAGTGTTCAGGCTGATCTTCGAATGATCACCGTTGATAATGGGGGGCAGAGAGCAAACAGTCCGGTTGGAGTCGTAGATGACTGGATAGACCGGAGAGTCACGGATGATGTGCAGGTACTTGCCCAACTGTTGGTGCTTCTCGTAGAAGTTCATCAACTCCTCGCCATCCATCTCCTGGGTCTGGTTCAATGGGGTGAACTTGATGTCCTTGGGAGGGAGAGCCTCATAGGTGAAGGGACCCTTCACAGTGTCCAAATCGTGGGTACCGATTGATACTAGAGTTCGTTGGCGGGCCAAGTTCTGGTGGAGCTTGTCTTGGAGAGCAATGAAGGATGCATAACGAGCCTGATCAAACTTGATGTTCCGTAGAATAGCACCAGCCACGTAGGGTCTGATTTTCGTGGTCTATTGTTGTTAGCGGCGCCCCTCCACCTGAGCAAGTAGGTATTGAAGCACTGACATCTTCCTTGACAATAATCCGCTCCATCTGTGTTGGCTGAGTCAACTTGTACTCGGGCAGGGGGTTCCGGCCCAAGAAGATGTTCAGCATGAGCGCAATGCCCTCGAAGCACAGCAAGTCATATCTAATCTGTTCTTAGTTTGGGTTCTTCCATCTCCTCTGTTCACATTTCACGCGTACCGATTGGCGGGGATCTCGATCTTGAGTTGCGGAGGCTCTTGCTTTCCATCAACGATAGGGCGGTCCGAATTTGTAGTCTGAAACTATCAGCATTGGCTATGATGGGGTTTTGGATAATACATTGTACATCTTCGTCAAGCTCAATTCCTATTCAAAAGTCAGTCATGCCCCGCAAGGATTTCCCAGCCAACCCACCGAATTCGAAGCACAGCTCATCAAACTCCTCTGTAGTATACCTGCAGAAAGGTCAGTTTGGTTCAATGATAACATCCAGAGACGTACTCTCGGCCCAACTCTTGGAAAAGAGCGGCCTTGTCGACCGAAATGGTGGGCATGGTGGGAGTTGCGAATTCTGGTTTCAATCAGCAGAATATTCGGTAAACCAGAGCGAAGCCCAAGTAGGCGACTCCGACAAAATGTAGGGAAATTCCGTACAGAAATTCAGTAAGTAGCCCTAGAGTGATCGGTGCACAAAGTCTTGGATGACTCTTGCGCTGGTGGAAATTCTGCCCGCAAGCCACCACCGCCACAGATCCCCCTCTTTTGTGACGATGGTATTGGTATGGTACTTCCCATATACATGGACAAATTTCTACGCACACCGCCGGTATGTAATTTACACCACTAAACACTCAAAGCTCGAGTGCCCTGCTCCGGTTACTGCATCATTGAAGGGGGCATTTTTCTTTTCTCTTGACGAACTTGTATCAAATCTAATTATTTGCTGTTGATCAAGGTACTCTTCAATTGTCGAGGTATGCTTCTGCTGGAGGTGTCCATGCGGCCCAAAACCCCACCCTCACTCTACCACCATCCATCTCCCCTTGTCATCTCGCGAAGTCGGAACTAATCCTTATCAGCCATCACGTTGTTTCCTACACTTCCTCTGCCAAATCGCTGACAGGTCCAACGCCACCCTATTCCCTATTAGGACCGGGACTCGTCGCGTTTCCCTCAATACACACCCAAACTCACAATGGAGGGCCAAAACGAGAACGATGAGCTCTACCCCATCGCCGTGCTCATTGACGAGTTGAAGGTAGGTCTCCCTCCGGCCATGCAGAAAGTATCGAGCTCAACTTTCTTTAGCACGATGATGTCCTTCTCAGACTCAATGCCATTCACCGTCTCTCCACGATCGCGCTTGCACTTGGGCCCGACCGAACCCGGGAGGAGCTCATCCCATTTCTTGATGGTTTGTCCAGACTTTAATCGCCCAGCAATCCCATCTAACAGTGATAGATTCCGTTGAGGACGAGGACGAAGTTTTGACCGCGCTAAGTGAAGAGCTGGGCAATTTTACAGAATATGTTGGGGGCGCTGAATACGGGCACGTGTTGCTCTCCCCACTGGAGAATTTGGCGGCTATTGAGGAGCCGTTGGTGCGGGAGAAGGTATCACACCAGCTGGAAGTTTCTTGAGGCGCACGCTGACGTTTCAGGCCGTTGAATCTCTCAACAAGGTATGCGAGCAGCTCTCGGAGAGTCAAGTTGAGGAGTATTTTGTCCCGCTAGTCCTCCGCTTGTCAAAGGCAGACTGGTTCACCTCGAAGGTCTCTGCAACTGGTCTTTACTCCACACCATACAAGAAGGCTACTCCAGCGCTGCAACAGAGCCTCCGACAGCATTTCGGAGCTTTGGTACATGATGAAACCCCGATGGTGCGGCGACAGGCGGCCAACAATCTGGCCAAGTTTGTCAAAGAAATGCAAAGCCAGGTCGTCATCGATGAAATAATTCCCCTCTTCCAATACTTGGCGAGCGATGATCAGGACAGCGTCCGTCTGCTTACAGTTGACATTCTTATTGCCATTGCAGAGGAAATCCCTAAAGAACAGCAACCTAGCCACGGCGTTTTATTGACATCGCTGCGGAATCTGTTTGAGGATAAGAGCTGGAGGGTCCGATACATGGTTGCCGATCGATATGAGAAGGTATAATGCCTTTCCTAAATTTCCAACTTTTGGCCGAAACTGATGTATGCAGATCGCCAAAGCTGTCCATGAAGAGGTTGTCACCCGTGACATGGTGCCTGCCTTTGTCAAGCTCCTCAAAGATACGGAGGCCGAGGTTCGCACCGCAATTGCTGGCCAAATTCCTGGTATGATGCCCCCGACGATGTAGGTACAGTTGATACCTGACTCACACATTTCCAGGCTTCTGCCATTTGATCGATCGCGACACTCTCCTCAATGAGATCATGACCAGCGTTGAGGATCTTGTCTCTGATCCCTCTCAGCATGTCCGGGCTTCCCTCGGTACTCAGATCAGTGGGCTCGCGCCCATCTTGGGCAAGGAGGAGTAAGTACTCTGCCTGTCTGTTGGCAATTACCTGTGCTGATCGTCCAGGACTATTGCCCACCTACTCCCCATGTTCCTCCAGATGCTCAAGGATGAATTCCCTGACGTCCGACTGCACATCATCTCGAAGCTCGAGCAAGTCAACAAAGGTAAGCGCTCCAGAAATTGTTTTTGATTAATGTCTTCTAACCCGTTATAGTCATTGGTATCCAGCTTCTCTCTCAGTCTCTTCTTCCTGCAATTGTCCAACTGGCCGAGGATAAGCAATGGCGGGTTCGGCTAGCTATCATTGAATATATTCCACTTCTCGCCAGTCAACTTGGAGTCGAGTTCTTTGACGAGCAGCTGAGCGATCTTTGCATGGGCTGGCTCGGAGACACTGTCTTCTCCATCCGAGAGGCTGCCACTGAGAACTTGAAGAAACTGACAGAGGTCTTCGGCGTGGAGTGGTCAAAAGCTTCTATCATTCCCAAGGTGATGGCCATGGGCCAACACCCAAACTATCTTTACCGCATGACGACTTGCTTTGCCGTTTCTGTATGTTTCCCCACTTATCACATCGATCAATGCTAATTATCAGACTCTCACTCCCGTTGTTAACCTCGAAATTATTGAGAATTCTCTCCTCCCTATCCTGGAACGCCTAGTTACTGATGAAATCCCCAACATCCGTTTCAATGTCGCCAAGTCCTACGCCGTTCTCATCGCCACACTGCGTCGTCTTCCGGCTGATAAGACCTTGGTTGAGGTGGAAAAGTCCGAAGAGCCTATTGCGCCGTCACCCCGGAGTCTGGAGTTGATTCAGTCAAGGGTTGTACCCAGCCTAGAAAAGTTGCAGGTGGATGACGATGTGGATGTCCGATACTTTGCTACGACTGCTGGTGGCAATCAGGATGAGATGCAGACCTCTCCTTAAATCATGCACTTGTTCGGCCGATACCCCAACAAGCCATCATCATGTCAGGCTAGAGAATAGCCAAACGTCCTTTTCTTTTGGGCGTTTTTAATGTAGAGGTTTTACATAACGTTTAGCCAGAGGTAGTCAAAATCAAGTGCGCATCTAAAGATCTTTGGTGCATGCAAACCAACCCACAACCCATATAATGTATCTACGATATGGTGCATAGTACGTACATCGTCAAAAGAAGGGCTGGATCTTGACGGGGGGCTAAGACCGATTCATTTGTCAGCAAAAAGCGGCCACGGGGCATCCAGGCACATGCATCCGTGGTTGGATTGCTTATTTTCCACTGACAAGTAGATCAAACAAATTCGTGATACCAATAATACTCCCAACATGATCTTATGAACGCTGCATTGCACCGGTCGGTTGGCTTGTGATTCCACAGAAACCGTTGTTTCAATTTTTCAGTTGCCATGTCGTGGCCGTACCATTTCATCTCCCTCTCCGAATACGAGAAGCTGCATCGCAGGGAGTTACTTGATCTTCGAGGGTATTATGCACAATGGTCAATCGTTTTGGTTATTGTCGCCATTCGAATCTTTCGCATTGCTACGAGATCAACCGCTCAGCGGGATGGCCCGGTTTCTGGAAAGACCCGACGGCGTCTTGTCTGCGGCATATGGCTGATGTGGCTTGTAGGCCTTTCGATATGGAACAGTGGTGATGGTATCAATTCGTCCCCCGGGTGGTTTGAGGTTAACCTGCTAACATGCTAGACTACCTTCATTTGACCAAAGCATTCGGTCAAGTTGGCCTGTCCCAACTGCCATTGCAGGTTCTGATGTCTCCGGCATCTATCTCTCGGCCCGCAACTTCATCTTTACTGTCTCTTCTGACCGATATCCCTCAGCCAGTTTTGACGCCGTACCACCATCTCTTTGGTAGGGTGGTTGTTTCTCTCCTGCTGGCCCATGCCGTTCTGTATTCGCTTTTCTTCGTGCAATCTAGCCATCCTGATTATGGCACATTGTTCTTCAAGCGAGTGCAAGACTTAGACGTTCAATGTGGTCTGGCTGCGATATTCTCGGCGGTGCTGCTCGTTCTCTTCGTGCGGCCTGCTGCCCAGAAGGGACTCCAAACTTGGCTTTTGCAGGGAACCATTCGAGAACGCAGAAAGATGTTTTACTTTGGTCATGTATCTTTGGTGGTACTATTTTGTGTTGCAGCTTATGCTCATGTTCAGCAAGCGCAGAAGTACATACTGCAGACTTTAGCAGCCTCTATGCTAAATTGGGTGTGCTGTTGGGTGGTATGTTAGTGTGTGGTGGAGAAACATATCAAGCCTGATAGTCCTTTCAGAAAAAATGATGCCTTGGTTAGCATTTTAACATTGAACTCTAGGGATATCGTATGTACGTATCTAAGAGTGGGTAGTGGAATCATGAGGTACGGAGAATGTCATCTACACATCTATCTCCATAGATTTCATGAACTGTGTGCTCTTTTGACAAACATGTTCGAGAGCGGGTGGACTTGTTACTTCTCCAAGGCTTTGAAATGTCTCTCTACCAAAAATTATTGCGTGAGATTCTTAGCGTTCTGTAGCACGATGTAGATTGATGTAGTCCAAGCATTTCTAGTGACAAGTAAGTGAATAGATTATGGCGCACTTCCCCTACAGCCGGGCAACACTATACAAGTAGATGGGTCCCTTCAAGAATAGAGGGCCACATAAATTCATTTGCCCCCTGTACGAGAATTGTACCAAATTTTGGCGACATTTCAGAATTTGCTTGGCAACTATGAAGCTAGCAATGGATAGCAAGCCTCAGGCGGGGTCAATGTTGGCTTGAGGGACTGCCCAATGGGACAAGGACGAAGCAACGCTTTCTGATGCCACTCAAAGCAAAAACTGACTATTTTGTGATTGCATCGGTTCATACAATAAGAACCAGATACTCAGCAGCACCCTGCACAGAAATGGACTGGGGTATAGAATGCGTTGTTCGAACAGTAGCATCTGGGGTCAACCTTGAGGTCACGACACGTCATGGTAGACTGTCTCACAAGGTGAGCAGCTCTTTGGATTTTCGCAATATGGTAGGTACCCCCTGGAGGTTGACCTTTTTGGTGACCAATCGTCTAGAGCCATTGTAGCGCAAGTTTGCTTCCTCTCGGGGAGATAGGCGGGAGAAGAGAGCTCGGCCAGTTTCCATGACAATCTCAGGCTCGGATGAATTAAAGAAAGGCGCCATCAATCTGTTACTTTTTCACGATATACAAGTACTCACGTCAAAGAAGAGCCTCCGCTATAGGGTGTGAGGATAGACGGATGGATGCTCGCAATGTTCAGCGTCTGAAAGTTGATGTTTGGGTACTTTGCCCTGATCGCCTGACTGAGACTCACGATCATCGCAGAATGTGGCTCAACTTCGCGAGATCTTTTGATCATCCAAAATTGTTTCGGGCACGTTGTCACATTATTTTCAAACCCTTTAACTGAGAGGGCGTGGGGGAACTCAAAGGCGGCTCATCAAGCTTGATCAGACAAAACACATTCGTACCTATTAGGTAATCTTTGGTGGTCCAGCTACTCGAAGGAGTAAGTTCGGTCGATTTTTGTTCCATTTTGAGCCTAGAGACATTAAGATACCTTCAATCAGCTGGTACACTTGAAAGGTCTTCCCACTAATAGTACGAAGATTTTTCGCACTGCTCCATGTTGTGTACTAGGTTGCACTCATCGGCGATTTGAGAATGGTCATTCAATCAAATAGGGCCTGGGAAGCAAACGCAGCCTCTGGATGCGGTGCATGGTAAGGAGGGGTCACCGTCTCAACTCCCGAAAAGTCCAATTTTCGAAGCAAAGTATCCCATTGAGGGAGTTGAATGTGGGACTCCAAGGACAACCGGAGTCGACACCAACCCACCAAGCTGGAAGTCCGCTCATCGGTAATCCGATGCGAACAGCGTCTTTACTAATCACTTCAAATTCTAAAAAGCGGCCTCCGAGTCGAAGCATCTGCCTCACATTGGTTACCATTTCCTCTAACTCGTCGGTGGCGTGCAGCACGTTGGCGGCAAATAACCAAATCGTAAGAGCTCGGTTCAAAGCCCTGGGTTGCCGGCAATCTCTCCATGTCGAAGAGTTTGAATTGAATGTGATTCGCAACCTTTTCGAATCTCTTTACCGCAGCTTCGAAAAAAACGCGCTCGAGATACCTGTAGAGGTGTATAGGGAGAACGCATTTCAGATACGAGGGAGAACAACTCGAGTTGTACCACTAGTACCAGCACCTGCTGTACAGGAAGTCAACAAGTCATCCTCACTGCTGGATCTAGTTCCTTTGTTCGGGAACAGGGCCTGCTAAATATACCTAAAACGGAGAGGAATTCAAAGTTGGTGCGATAGCAGGGTCGTGGTGGCGACATCAGAAGAGTCCTTATTCAATTTTCCCGGTAGGAGGTTTTCAACATCTTGATTTCAAATTGCATATTTACAAGATTACAACTTCAGCTTCTGTATAGTACAAGTGCCTTCGAAGGTAATCAAAATTACTTTGGATGGTAGTAGTTCTCGTGTGGGGCTCAGGGCTGTACTCTCTGTAAGAAACAACACAAGCTCCACTGCCAGGTGCCTGGAAAATTCCCATGTGTTACGAGTGTGGCTTGGCAGTATTACGGTAATGTATCGTAAGATCGGCCAACGTAGTGGAGATCATTTCTGGGCGCAGAGGTCCACGGATGCCATGTCTGTAGGTAACGTCATTTTTTTTTGTCCTATTTCGGCGGTGCCTGTTCGGATTTGAATTTTCTCCTCTGGGGACCTAGTGTACTGTATATAGATCACCTGATCACCTTACACATACCTGCTTTGAAGTTCCTCCTTTCCCCTACGAGACTTTGTTTCCACTTGAGCATTCTAAGGAATGACAGATCAGCGAAGTCCCAAAGAAGCCGGCATGGACCCTTCGGCCAGTCGATGTCGCGCAAAACTCCAGCTCTCCTGCAAGTTATGTAGACGTCGGAAGTGGGTGCACACCAATGCCAATCCTCTCGCATACCCTGTCCTTCCGGCTCATTAAACTAGGCTTAATTGCAATCGCGAATATCCCTGCGGCACATGCTCGAAACGTGGGCTAGACAAGTTGTGCACTTGCCCTCCAGATCCGATGCAACCGTTGAGGCTGGATCCTTCGTCGTCAAATATGCAGGCTAGGAGACAGCAATTGGAAAGCTTGGTGGTCACTCTGTTACAGCAGAGCAAGAGCGTCCCGCACGATTCAGCCGTGCCTCTCCATATGACCAGCACACAACACGAAATGGACAATAGGGCGGATAAGATCTCTTCTCAATCGAATCACGGCAGCATAAAATGCAACCATGTTGGGAATTCCAGATATGTCAATGGCAGCCACGGGGTGGCTGTTCTGAATGGCATTGTCGAATTGAAAGATTATTTTGAACAGGAAGGAATGGAACCTGCCCGACCTGTCTTCGATCCAACGTCTTCTGCATCATTTGTCGGCCCGCAGCCACTCTTTGGCTACCCTTAATACATAACCAGAGAGCAGCTCTTGGCATGACTTCCTGATAAGCCCGAGGTGGACCGACTGGTGTCGTTCTATTTCAACTCATTCGATATGTCTCCAGGTAAATGCGCCAAACACCAGATTTTGATTTCAACCCGGCTGACTAAAAGTCACCACATAGCTATTCTTCACAATGTAGAGTTTCCAACAGAAGCAAGCTTGGCCTCTCAGCATGGCCTTTCGAAGGGGTTCTTATTCCAACTCCTTCCAGTATGAACAATTTTGGGAGCGTTCTGCCGATACCTCAATAATCTGGGTAGGGTTATTGTACGCTATCATGTGCTAGGCCGCAAAGTTCCAGAGATTTCGATTTGAATCTGGTCTCCATATCATCCGCAGAGCATGATTCCCAAATGATAGTAGAAGCTTTCCGCGCAAATGTTGTTTAATGTCTGATCCTTGGGAACAACCACGTGGGTGGACCTTGCGTACTCGAAATGTTTTTTCTGTACTTCACTTGCGAGCATTTTAGTTTTAGCCACAAAGATGCACAGCTCGGAATCTGGTTGCTCCTAGGTATCATTGTTCAATTATCTATGGCATAATGGGGTTTCACCGCGGTCCAAAGCATTTGAAAGATCAGAGCATCTCTCCGTTTGCGGGTGAGATGAGACGACGTGTGTGGGCTACAATCATGGAGTTGGACTTGGGAATATCAGCCCAAATGGGTCCTCCACGCTTGATCAGACCATGGCAGGCGGACACCGAGGAGCCTCGGAACTACCTGGATAGTGATTTTAATTAGCGAACTAAAGATCTTCCACCCCCACGGCCAGATACAGAGAATATACTAATGCTTTATCGACTCTCAAAAGCACGCATGATGTCTCCCCTTGGCCTTATTCTGGACGGTATCTCCGACGTTCGAGAATGCACATATACTTACTTCCAAATTTTGAAGATCGACACTAGGCTACACGAGATTCATAACGCCATGACAACTTGTCTTGAATGGACTTCAATAGCCCATTGTATCACGGACTCACCACAAGTCATCTTGCAGAAACTTTTCCTGGAGCTAACGTTTCAAAAAGGCAAAATCCTTCCACATCGAAAATTTCTTGCGCAACGAGGAGATCAATATAGTGATTCACACAGGGCATGTATACATGCGGCGTTGAATATACTGGAATATCAACGCATTCTGGACGAGGAGACGTAGCCTTTCTGTCAGCTGTATCATGAGAGATGGCGTGTCTCGTCACTTGTGAACTACGATTTTCTGCTAGCGGCCAGTGTTCTGTGTTCCTACTTGGAGCAGGAAAGGAAATTGAATCCCGATGGTCTAGCCGAGAATTCAGAAAGAATTCATGCTGCGTTAATACGATCGCACGATATTTGGGCTTACTCGAGCTCGTCTGTAGAGGCTCAAAAAGCGGCACACGTTTTAGAGGTTGTGTTTCGGAGTAGGAAGGGTTTTTTTCCTTCTTCGAATAGTTGCGAAGCCATGTCGGATGATTCACAATTCTATATGACACCTGCTGACCCACTTGACTACCAAAGCGGTAGGTTCTTGTCACTCGTTTCGCGTCTTTTTTCTTTTTAAACTTCCGCTGTCTCTTCAGGCGAAAATTACTGAGATCGCCCTTGTACTGACAAGCTGTTGAGACCATAACGCTGGTCTCAATTCCATCTTCCCTTTCTTTCCAGATGAGGAACCCATGCCCAGAGCCTATTCTAAGGTCAACGGAGTATTTGCCTATCTTCTTTCCTCCGGATCAGTTTGCCATGTGTGGACACATCTGCAACAAATAGTGAGTTTCCCGGTCCCGCTTATCTGTGGATAGACTGGCAGCGCTTTCTCTAGGTCAGCCTTTCTTGCCACAGGAGAATTGGTCACGTCGACAGTGACAGCTTCCCTAGCGGGACGGCTACTCGCAGGTGCGTACTAGGCCCTGGGCCTGCCAAATTGAACACATTGTAGGGAAATGGCCTTATTCAAAACTGCCATCAACACCAACAAGAAGATCTAACAGGAAGATAACACAATCAAATACTCTTTAATCAGCTGTCATCCTCCGTCGCTTGAGTCGACAAGCGCAGAAGATATGCAACGTCAATTCGAGGGCTTTCTCCTGACCAACCAACTGTTAGTAAGGGAAGGATAGTTTGGGTGAAGTCTAATGCAAACATGATGTGCCCATATTGCAAGTACTGCTCAATTATTGTCCAATAAAGCTGCTCTTGATCGCTTGCATTCTTCCTCACAACTTCAAGTCATGTTCCGAGCCCCACAATCCGGGCCGGTGGTCCCAGATCACGGTTCATTTCCTTGAGTATTGACGGCAACCCATTAAGCGTGGGGGTTGAGAGCTTCCTGGATGATAGATGCGGGTGACTGGCATGGAGTAGTCTCCGCGACGGAATGGCTGAAAACTGCATCAGTCAGCACGTCAACAGGTATGAGCTCAATCATTTCCATCAAAATATTCTGTTGTGTGGCCGGAATATCGGAGATCTCATGAGGATTGGATGTAGCAGAGTACTGAAACAGTGAGAGTTCCCCATATAAAAGAAGCTGCCGATCTGCTTTATCCCTAACAGTGGTGGGCATCTCACTCAAGAGCTGACACCCGCTAGGCAGCATATGATGGTTGAGGATTGGCCTGATAGTTATTTGAAGATATGAAAGATATTTACTCTGTCTGATATCTGTTCGTGGAATCATCTTAGGAAAAATGAAAGGGATAAGCTGACGTTTGTCAACCAAGCTTGCATAGCCTCTTACATCTTCCGCATCAATCGGTCTCGCCACAACGGCGATATCGACGGTGCCTTACCCAGAATATGCTCTTGAGGAACTGTCTAAGGCTTGGCTAGCCTCTCCGAAATCTATTCGAATCCCTTTAGGTTTGATCTGCTTGTCGCCGGCAATTCTTCCACGGAACACTAGCGCTCTTCCTCGCAAGAAACAACATCTAGGAGCGCTGATGACTGGGAGCAGAGTTCGGCGGTTTTTTTTTCGCGCTACTGCCTATTCACCCTTTTAGACAACGATAGCATGGAGAGTGGTCTTGTAGGGTCTTGACGACTTCGAAAAATGTAGCACCGGGCTCTCTGTCCAATCGGTCTGCAGGCGAGGGGTGCTATTCTCTCTTTCGGAATCTGAACCGCTTTCTTTTTAAAAAATGTGGTATTCGCTAAGGCCTTTTGAGTGTCCATTTATCTCGAGTATTGACATTTAACAGCGCTTTTCCTTGGAATTTTAGTCGTGACTTGCGCAGACATTCTGCAACCTTGTTCTATAGTTACCGAGCCTTAAATAGCATAGGGCCATGCATGGGCAGCCCCAATTCAAAGGCGACTAGCAACTTTCCTCTTTTCTGAAGCGGTTGAAGAGTCAATCGACCACGTCAAAGGGTAGTGGTGAAGTGGGTGCGTAAAGATTCACCGTAGCGGTAAAACAGCCATAGTACCGGTGTGAACGCAAGAAAAATAATGCTAAAAATGCTATTTCTCCACCCGAGGCCTATTTTTTCATACAAAGGCGTGGCAGCGAGTGCAAGAAAAGCTCCAAAGGGGCTTCGGACAACGAGATTCGCGGCCAAGGCCGACGCCGCTGCTTCAGCCCCAAAGGCGTAGACTTAGGCTGGCTTGACAATGAACAAAGCTCCAATTCCGATCACAAAAGTACCCACGACAGGAGCCATCCAGTGGGCATGATAGTATGCGCTCCATCCGTAGATAAATCATCCTGCGGGAGTGATCGGTGCAAACCATCTCATGAGAATCAATCGCTCTTCAGGTCTGTTAACTGTGCCCCCTCGCTTCTGGTCGAGAAGTTCATCACTGAGAATGGCAAACAGTATTAGACCGAAGATCATTCCTAGTTCGAGATCTAGATAGGCTAGCCCGGTATCTCCGATATTGAAGTGGTACTTTGACGCGAAGAGGGTCAGGAGGGTGGTGAAAAGAAGGAAAATCACACCGAACAGTGTGCCGCTATAAAGAGAGATCAACAGTTCAATGGGTGAGAATATCAAAATCTAGCATCTTCCAGGTGAAGACAACTCTCGCTTATTTTTATATCTGAAAAATCTAAGTGGACAATCCGAGCAATGAGTGCTTAGAATTTGATCAATTTTTGTGACAAGAGGCCCATAACCGCTACTGCAAAGACAGTAGCCACGGGGGGATCAAGTAGAGCATGCTCCGTACTTTGGAGATTCGGACGGTCGGGCTCATTGGATTCACCCTCGGCTTAGTTCATTTGGCTTGGTAACTTGGCTTGAATGCTCATCGAGTGAAGGAGTTGTAGATGACTGTTGATTGCGGAATACTGGTGTGAAAGATGTCTCCTTTCTAGGCATAGATTAACAGCGGCGGAGGTTGATGAACCCATCCTTCTTTTATTGGGACAAGTCACTCGACAAGGCGTTATGGATGTGACAGTTGTTTCATGAAATGTCCTCCTCAACCCCCCATGTGCCTTACAAAGCTATCTTATCCCCGTAAAATATGCTTTGATGATTGAACTTCCTTAATAACTTCACGGTCAAGCTCGACCTGAATTGCATTTACCAGAAATCCAGTGTTGGGCGTCATAGTTTCTTCTATGTCAACAGATGCTTGAAGATTCTTGCCTCTCCTTGCGATACAGAGCCGCTCAGGACCTACCGTGATCTCGACTGCGTGGAGAATATCAAGTAACGCACGCATCGCAGTGTATGTCTTGATCCTCATAGCCCCGGGAACAGTCAATTTGCCCGAAATGAGCCTTTCGCTGTCGGTTTGGCTAAAGAATGGCAGTTTTGTGTCCATTGCCGCTCGGATGATTGGACGTGTACTTGAAATTGACTGCAATGCTGAACAATCTGGTAAGAGTCATCCCTACAATTTAACATTGACACGCAAGTGAACAGCGCGTCGTCTCTCTTAGATCGAGCCAAGTTGAAATGGACGGAATTCATGTTTCTGCGCTCGTACCTTGAAGGTCTCACCGGTTGATCACAATAGTCACTGGTTTGACGAGAACAAATCCCGACAAGTAGGGCTATGTGGATCATTGTGTGGTCCATGCTGCCTTTAAGCTTTCTAACTAGACTAAGTGACTCCACTCGGGAAAGTGGGGGATCTGGAGCATGCGAGGAATCTGTATCGAACTTATACCCAGTGACTCGAGAGAGTATTAAACTGCAACCATAAACAGTACCTTGCTCCTGGTTATCCGGGGAAGACTTTAAATGGGACGTCAGCAAGCGCATCTCTCCCTACTAAATTTCTTGAAACGACAAATGACATACATTCCACCAACAGTGCTCATGGTTCAGTTTTGGGGATTTGGTTGCCTCTGGTTCAGCCAGCCCATGAGCTAGCATCTATAACAGATTGATAGATTCATTATCGTCTCTGCCCAATTAGTCCACGCAAATCTCGGAGATTCCAGGTATGCAGAAAAGAGCTTGAATGGCCTTGTTGATCCCTCCTTTTCGCAGCCTATTTCGTAGCGCAGGCACACAGGCTTTCAGGTAATAAGTTCCAGTGAAAGACCGGAAACCAGTTTAAGGAAATTCAAGCATGGTTTGCGATTCGCAATCGAGGAACGGGGAACCCGGTCAAAAGGTGTTGCCTGACTATGATAATTTTGATACGAGTTTGCTTGATGGATAGGATAAGATCGCAGTTATATCTCTGAATTGTAATCATTCTAATGAATCAGCTGGTGAGATCATGGCAGGTAAAACGAGAGAAACTACGCCTCATTCAAAACAATGTTGGCAATCAGTTGTCTTGGCTCATTTCCAAAATATTACATCACGACCCTAGTCTCCTTGGAGAGGAAGCTATAGAGATACCGATGTAATGCAGTGTGCTTTCTAGACTAATTGACTCGGAGGAAAAGAAAAGAAAGAAAGGAAGGAGCTCTCTAAACTAGAAGTATTGCGCTAGCTACTGTTGGTTAGGCGAGTGGAACGATGACGGAGTGGGAGATGTGTGTCATGTTCCATGTATAAAGACTAAATCTTAACAAGGGGAAGCGATTTAGGAGGGGGGTGGCTTGGGTTTTAAGGACACTTATCCTTTGCAATCTTAGATGGCGCTAGCGTAATGCATGTGGTTGAAGGTGAAATGCTGACTCAGCCGCATTGCTTAGGTCATACTTAGGGAGCTCCATGAGTGGAATTGGGTTGCTCAGGTGACGGCCAGTCAGTTAGCTTATATAATGATTAGGTGATGATGACGCATTCGGTAAGCGAGCTGGCCACCCCAACCAAAACGCGTCCATGAATTAGATCTTAGTTACCCGCCTGAATGGTATACAACACCGCGCGATTTCTCGCGCTAACTCTCATAAATTGACCGATGCTGAAGAGGAATCTCTTCAGAAATGGATACTCTCTATGGATTCTCGTGGATCAGCCCCCCCGGCCCCCTATGGTACAAGAAATGGCAGATCTTCTTCTTCAAAAGCGTGGAACTACCCCAGTTCTTTCGGTCGGCGAGAAATAGGTATATAACTTCGTGAAACGGCATCCTCTCCCATCCTCCCGATTCTCGAAACGATACAACTACGAGCGTGCGAAATTCGAAGATCCTAAAATCATTGGGGAGTGGTTTGATTTGGTTCAAAAGACAATCCTTCAATTTGGAATCGATCCTAATGATATCTATAACTTTGATGAGACTGGTTTTGCAATGGGATTGACTATAACTGCGAAGGTTATTACGAGGAGTGAATACTACGGTCGGAGGCCGGTTTTATAACCTAGAAATCGTGAATGGGTGACGGTGGTTGAATGTACGAATGCTTCTGGGTAGGTGCTTTCTCCGTGTATAATTTTAAAAGGCAAAGCCTTTTTTAATTCATAGTTTAACAGCCTCCTAGAGGATTGGCGCTTCGGAGCAGCTAGTTTAGTACTATTTGCACCCAACCGAGTGATTTCAAAGCTTGATATTCGGCTTCGAACCCTAACCCCCCTAGCCAGCCGGGGGAGTAAATCAAGCCGGAATTTTACCCCAAAAACCCCCTTTACGGAGAAAGAACTACGTCGTCAAGCTTCATCAATCAAAGCTTAACTTCGTACAAGATCTCGAAGCCCACCTAGCCCGTCAGATCGTGCATTAAACCAGCTTGTAAAAGGCTTCCGTCTTACATTGCAAGGTGCCATCTTACTCGCCAAAGAAAACAAGGATTTACGCGCCGCCAACGAGAAGCAGAAGCAAAAGCGTACTAGATCCCGGAGGCAGATACCTACTGAAGAAGGCCTCTCAGTTCAAAAAGCTTCTCAATTGATTACTGAGCCGGTGGAATCAATTGAAGCACCTCCTCCCCCTCCACGAAGAAGCCCTTCGCCGGCTTTACAACCACGTACGCGGGCCCCGCCAAAGTGTAGTGGTTTTGGAGAAATAAGACATAAGATTAATAGATGCTTAGCTAGATAGATGATTTTAGCATATTTAATTTAATGGCGTGTTGGTTGAGATAAATGCATTTTAAATTAAGAAGTTGGCTGGGGTGGCCAGCTCGATTACCGAATAGTTACGTTAGCCAACGATTTCAATGATTATATAATGCTCAGGGGCATGATCAGATTTACTCAGTGAGCAAAAAGCGGCAAGGCCTGGGCGCTAAAACGGAATGCGAATGCCAAGATGTGGCAGAGGAAGTACATAGAACAGTACATAGATTGTGACGATTACGTTAGAAAGGCTTGGCGGATAAGGCTAGTAGCCCGAGGTCAATTCTAGACTGATGGAGAACCCTCCTTAAGACCTAGCCTCAGTTTCCTTCTTTATGCCTCCCCCCAATGGCAGCATGCGCATCCAACGGTTGATTGTATTACTTACGATCGGTGTTCTTGTCTGTCTTTCTCTCCTACTATTACGATCATCACCTCCCCGAGAGCAGCCCTTAGTTTTGCCTCCTCCCGAACCGATTCAACATCCTCAGCTTCATGCGGGGCAAAAAACATACCTCCCCGAGAAGGAACACCCGATCACGCGTCTGATCGGAAATGCCCAGCAGCAATTCAATCATGCGCAGTCACGGCAATCAAAAACCTTGGCCGAGGCCGTAATTGAATACCAGCGCCGCTATAATATGCACCCGCCGCCATTTTTCGACAAGTGGTTCGAGTTTGCCAAGTCAAGAAACGTACAGCTAATCGATGATTTCGACTCCATATACCACACCCTCCTCCCCTTCTGGGGTGTGAAACCAAAGACGATTCGCGAACGGGCGCGCGAGACACTTGGATTTGACAATGCGGTACTTGGTATTCTGATTCGCAACGGCAAGGTGTCTTTAACAGATGGAGGGGGTGATGACCGCAAGTGGCAGCGAGATGCCACTGCCGGTATGATGAATGCTTTTGTAAAATACCTGCCCGACATGGACCTGGTCTTCAACACTCACGACGAACCGCGCGTGATCCTTCCTAATGAAGACCTCCAGCGATTGGTGCATAAGGCCAAGGACTTCACTATCCCAGCATCATTCCAGAAAACCCCGACTAACGCGTGGTCCCCACGTGCTTCAGACCTAAACAAAGGTGACCGCATCGACGAGGTGCGCACTACTCGTTTCAACCGTTTCGCGCACCAACCGACCTGGACAAACTCCCGAATATCTTGTCCGGTTGACAGTCCAGCGCGCTCACTTGATGAAAATCCTCCCGACGACGTTGATCCTTATGCGTATGGCGAACTCGGCTTCATCTACAACACGACGGCGGCCTCTGATATCTGCAATACCCCCTCTCTCCGCTATTCATACGGATTCTTTGACCGACCCAACGCCTTCGATGTCGTCCACGATCTGTTTCCCATCTTCTCGCAGAGCAAGATCTCCAGCTTCCAGGACATCATTTACCCGAGTCCCTGGTATTGGGCTGACAAGGTTCCTTACGACACTGAAAAAGACTATGCGTGGGAGGCCAAGTCCGACCGAATGTACTGGCGTGGCTCCACAACAGGTGGGTTTTCGCGCGCGGGTGGCTGGCGTCGACAACATCGACAGCAATTTGTCGACAACGTCAACGCCTTGGGCACCACCAAAGTTCTCGTTCGCCAGGGGGACAGCTGGGTTTCACAAGTCACCAACCGGAACATTCATCGCGATTCCTTCGATGTCAAATTCACGCTTATTGGCCAGTGCGACCCGGACGATTGCAATGCGCAGACTGAATACTTTGGGGTGTTCAAACAGGCCGGGCAACAAGATGCGTGGGCGCACAAGTTCCTAGTTGACATCGACGGCAACGCTTTTAGCGGACGATTCTACGCTTTCTTGCATAGCAAGAGCTTTGTCTACAAGATCGCTATCTTCCGCGAATGGCATGATGAGTGGCTGAAGCCCTGGGTACACTACGTCCCTCTCAGTTTGAAAGGCGACGAGTACGTTGAAAGCATGCGATACTTTACCTCAGAAGACGAGGGCAAAAAGGCTGCTCTTCAAATTGCCAACCAAGGCCAGCGCTGGGCACAAAAGACCCTACGAAATGAAGATCTGGAGGTTTGGTTCTTCCGGTTACTACTAGAGTAAGTACCGTTCCATTTGATACGGAAATTCTGCTAACTTGCTCACTTTTCAGGTATGGTCGCTTGGTAGACGACAACCGCGAACAACTAGGATTCGTTCTTTGATCTGTATATATTCCTTCGACGAGGTGATGGCTTTTTGTTTTTGGACTCCTGTTAATACCCCCTTTCCCTTGGGCCTGTTTCCTACCAATAATATTTGTGCATGTGGAGGCGGCGTTCGGTATGGCATAGAGTGAGAAAGGCTGTAAATTTTAGGCAATTTACAGCATAATATGATTTGTATTCCTGAAACCAATCATCTAAATTATCAAATTTATGTGATGTCCACGGATATTCCACACCTACAGTAGATTTGTAGGTACCTGCGGGGTCCACGGGTGTTTTAACCCGCTGACTCAGGCGTGACGCTAACGGACGGCCCGAGCTCCGTTTGCCCCAGCACTAGATTTACAACAAGCTGACTCCATCTCACACCTTCAACGCATGATTTCAATATGGGTAAATCCCTAGCCCGTGCCTTGATCAGCGCGGTCATCTTTGCCTACGGCTCCTTCACAGTAATTCTTTACAGCCTCATTGCCTTGGCGAAAGGCACATACTTCAATTGCCCCACTGAAGACGAGAAAAGGGACCTACAGCTTGGTGAGCTATGTGTGCACCAATGTGAAGGCCTCTTTTTGCTGACTATCCAGCTCGCAATCGTCTGTGGAATTTATCTAAAGACTTCGAAGGTCTCTCTCACCACATTCTAACTCTGCAGAGCGGATTCAAGTTCCACTTTGTCAGTAACGATCTCCCGAACACACCGGAAACCATCAATTCTGAGAAACCATTGGTCATTTTCATTCATGGATTCCCCGATAGCTGGGCGATCTGGCGACACATAATCAGAAACCCTGCTCTACAAGAAGCCGTTTCGCTCGTTGCAATTGACCTTCCCGGATATGGAGGAACAGAGAGCCTGGAGAAATATACTGCCACAAACGTCTTGGAGAAATTGACAGAGCTGATCGTCACCCTGCGGATCCAGTATGGTGTGGACTCGGATAAGGAAAGCAACAAAAAGAGAACCATAATCGTTGCCCATGATTGGGGCTGTGTCTTGTCCATACGCCTCGCGGCCGAGGCTCCGTCCCTGGCCCATCGGTTCATCCTGTCCAACGGACCATCAGTACGTTAGAACACCGGTGGACATCGTACCTCGACTAATGATTCAGATGAAATTGGTTGAATCCAATATCCGCCGTCTGCTCTTCTCAGCCAATAAGATGCTCGGTAACGCCTGGCGTTCACCACTGCATGCCCGCGTCCCGCTGATGCAGGCCCTCCGAACCCTCACCCCTCTCGCCCGCCAGCTTTTCCTATCCGGCTATATCTTTGCTATGCAGCTACCTACGCCAATTATCTCTTACTTCCTGTCCGGAGGCAACCAGTCACTGTTGAAAAGTTGCCACCTCGCCTCGTACAACAAAGATGAATGTACCCCCCTCGACGTGGCAAACAGCATGGCTAGCACTATGGGTCCATCCGCCGCAGAATTTGATACCAAAACTCCCAGCGGTGATGCCTACCCCGCCAGCCTCGGTGAACGCGCGTTCGCACATGTCATACACATGGCGGCTTATTACCGTGATCGAGCTGCGGTAGCACATTGGGTTAAGTCCATTGAGACGGTTGCTAGCTTGCACAGCATTGCATCCGAAAAGCGGATGGCGAGCAGCGGAGCTGGGTTGTTTGATGAAGGCCCCCCGGGCGCTCTCAAAGCTAGCACGACCATTTTCTGGGGCAAGGATGATATTGCTCTTGATCAGAGGATCTGCCTTGACGGGATGGGTGATTATCTGGTGCAGGGGTCCCAGGTTGTGCTACTTCCCCGTACTGGACATTGGACTCCGGTTGAACGTGAGAGTGGCGCAGCTCTGATCAAGACCATTGAATGGGCTGCTCAAGGCGAAGAGGGAGATATTGTGACAGCCATTGGTGAATCCTACCCTGGTGTCCATATCACTTTTTCACGATAAACAAAGGCAATTGTTTGGGCAAACTTTGATATTCAGCGTTTTCGTATTGCGGGGGGCAACACGATCTAAAGCGGTTAGAGTGAAGACGATGTTTCACTTCCATGTTAGACCAGCTCCAGAAGAAAGATCCCATGTCTATTTAGAGATAGAAGTAGTGAATAGAGAACATGGAGTTTAGAACATGAAATTCTCATCAAGTGAGAAGGAAATAGAAAATTTAGAGAATACAGAGAATGAAGAATGTAGAGAATTCACTTATCGCTGATTTACGCGGGAAACAACTCCACTTTCCCCTCAGGAGCTTTGACCTTGCCTTACATCGTTACTTTCCAGATCACTTTGCTTAAGTATCTTACTCGCCACCTCTCTCTCATGATCTCAAGAGTTCAACCTTACACAATATGCAGTGAAAAAAAAAAGCTCTCCTGTTTTCGTCCCCCTTTGAATCTGCGTCCGGTCCTGGTACCACAGTCGGTGTATCGCGCTCCTACCGGTCTGAACTGTCATTGGCAATTGACAGGTTAAATATAGCCCGATAGCTCTTCTTCTTTTAGGGGGTTTCTCTTCTCTGCTCCGGACTTTATCGGGCATCTGATGATTCTTTTGCTGTCGAAATTGTGGCGTAATGGATTCCAATGGAGGAGCAGTCTACTGCACGGTATTTTAACCCCCACTCTCCCCTTCTCTATGATGATGGGGTAAACTAATGATGAGACAGCTTCTGTTGAGTGACAGTTATCTTCCCGGTAGGTTCTAGTTCAAGTGAAATGTGACATGATTCTAAATGTTGATAGGTGCTATGATCCTTGCCCATTCCCTACGTGACAATGGTACAAAAGCAAAGTTGGTGGCGCTCTTTACGCCGGACAGAGTACAATCGAGCACCATCGACGAACTCAGGGTACGTACATCGTTCCCCAAACTATACATTTGTCTTACGTAATAGACCGTCTACAACGAGTTGATCCCAGTGAGCTCAATGGTAAACGACACGCCTGCGAATCTCTGGCTCATGGACCGTCCAGACCTGATTGCTACATTCACCAAGATCGAGCTCTGGCGCTTGACGCAATACCGGCGGGTTGTATACATTGATTGTGATGTTGTAGCTCTCCGAGCCCCCGACGAGCTGTTATCACTGGAAGCAGACTTTGCTGCCGCGCCCGACGTGGGTTGGCCTGATTGCTTTAATAGTGGAATGATGGTTCTCCGACCTAATCTACAGGACTACTATGCGCTAAGAGCACTCGCCCAACGTGGTATCAGCTTTGATGGCGCCGACCAGGGCCTGCTGAATATGCATTTCCGGAATTGGCATAGGCTAAGCTTCACGTATAATTGCACACCAAGTGCCAATTACCAGTACATTCCTGCGTACAAGCATTTTCAGAGTACCATCAGTCTTATTCATTTCATCGGTGCTCAGAAGCCTTGGAATATGCCGAGGCAGATTGTCCCGCTGGAGTCCCCGTACAATCAGCTCTTAGGCCGGTGGTGGGCTGTCTATGACAGACACTATCGTCTGCCGTTTGTAAGTGATGTGCAAAATCATGAAGGCGTGTGGACTAATCTTTCTAGGTGCCGATCGCGCCATTTGGGATTGAAAAGACGGTGTTGGCTCAAAATTTTCTAGTCCACGCCCCTCGTTGTGAAATAAAACCAACGTCTGAACGGCAGCCCGGCCATGTTGAAACCCCCATAAGCATCCACGAGGAGTCACACCAAGCACCGCCAGTCGAGCATGGCCATTTAGAACCGCGCCATGAACACTCTGCTTCCTCTAATGTACAGCGTGCTGCCGTGTCTGTATTGAGTATGGTACCGCAGTATGTTCGTGGAGAGGAGCATATCTCAACTTTAATCTCAACTTTGCCTCCTGCGCCAATCACTCTTGCGCCTCAACTGAGCCATGAAACATATGAGACACAGACCCAGGCACCAGTACACTACCCCGACGGCCATATTCACCAACCCCAGCCGCTGGCGCCGATCCCTCCTCCTTTCAAAGAGTATCAATCACCCGCATCTCCGGTCGAAGAGGTTTCGACCTTTGAGGCGCCAAGATCCGAATGGGATCCCTCACGGTGAGAGCTTTTCACTCGGTATCATCTACAGTATTAATATCCCGTAGTGAGCCACCGCCTGTCAACACGAAACCGGAAGGTATCAGTTTACAACAGAAAACCTACAATATGTCTGAAGACACGCATCTCTTCCAACCCCCATCGTCCTACCCCGAGGCACCGAAAAACATGTGGTATGAGGTTCCCGCCAAACCGGAGCCCAAACCTACCACGATCTTCCCCTGGGAGGGCCATGCTCCGAAACCCACCCGTGTCTTCGCCAAGGAGGCACCAAGGAAATTTGTGAAACCTCCCGTAATATCCGAAAAACCAGAGCACCGTTCACTTCCAAGCGAGCCAGCCCTTCCCGGACCCTCCCCTTCCTACACTCGGATACCGTTCGAACCCAGTGCCGAATCATGGCAAACATACACCCGCTCAAATGCCTGGGATGAGGACCCAGAGATTCAGCGCTACATTGAGACGATCCAAGCACGGCGCACAAAATCACAAGTGACCCTTCTGAGAGCCCACTCCAACAGCCCCGGGAGATCACCCCCAAGCCCAGGCTTCCGCCCCAGCACCAAGATCACCGACTTCCCGACGGAAGTTGAGCGCCCCAGTCTGCCCGTAACGCCGGCCCCAATCCGCCGCACCAGCTACGGAGATGAGGCCTCCGGTACAGCCGCCCTCCCGGCTGCCGAGGGTGTGCCTAGCCAGGAGGAATGGGTGGGTATCACGGCCGATGTGTTCTCTTCTCTCCTCGGCGCAACATACTTATTGTGGCGGTCTACAGAATCCCCTAGCTCAGCTCGAGGAGCTGCATCGTCGGCACTCGGAGGTCTTGGAACATCCCGAGCTGCTGTTTAATCGGCTTGCCGCTGCCTCAAACTGTGAGCGTTAACAGTACACTTTCTCTCTCTTTCCTTTATTTGGTGAATCTTGGGTAAACTGGTTCTGTTTGCTTCATGGTTAACATGGTTAGGACATGTACTCCATCGTGCTTGATTGTTTTTGCGTATGCATATGTGATTTCTTAGGTGACTTTTTTGTTAGGAATCAATAATAGCGACACTGAACAGAGCATCGCGTTCTTCCTACTCTGACATTTCCATGGATGGATGGGGGCACGAGGTTTTTTTCGTAACTAGAGATGGCTACAATGGTATCCATAGGGTGACTAACTGTTTTCGTCTCGTTTTCCCTTGCGCTCCTGCCATGCATGTTGAGAACAGATGAAACAGAATATACCAAGTTGCCATCACTAAGAAGATATGAAGGAAGTCCAAACACTTAATTTAAAAATTCATAGGTTCTACTAGAGAGCCTATCAATGGCTTTATATATATACGCTCCAATTCAAAATTCTCCAGTCACATCTGAACCAAAGTAATGTCACCCGAACGCGGACATGGGACTGATGCATATCCTCATGCTACACAAAGTAGGGCGTAGGCACTGGTAATCGAGGAGCGCGCGCGGTGACAGAAAACAGATATCGAGGCTTTGATTCCAGCTTATGATGCCTGATGGTCACTGACACGAAAAGCCTTCTTGGCTAATATAAACCAGGCATCGAACATCTTCCAACTGACCTTCACTGTAATGGCCAATACAAATTTTAGGATTGGGAACAGAGGCTTTGAAGGTCATGTAATTTTGATTGCGTGAGGTAGAGTATCAGGTTAGGTTAGGACAGATGGAAGAAAAAGGAAGAGCCGGGCCTAATGTAGATAAAAACATTTACTCCTGAGCGAAAGTCTCCGCACCACCCTCTGCCTCAGCGGCCTGCTGCTCGGCAAGACGCTGCTGCTCGGCGGCCTGCTGAGCGGCGATAGCCTTGGCACCGTAGTCCTGGCTGACGGGCTGGAGAACGGGCTGCTCCTCCTTGGGCTCGATGATGGTGACCGAGTCGGGGAGAGTCTTCTGGGGACCGGCCTTGCCCTCGGGGTCGGAACCGCGCATGATCTTAACCTTAATACCGAGGACACCCTGGCGGAGGAGAACGTGACGAGTGGCGGAGTCAATGAACTCCTTGGCGGGCTGACCGGAGTGGATCATGAAACCGTCCTGTTATTTGCATTAGCCATTATATTCCTCCCAGAACTGGGTTTGTGATCGATTCGTCGAGCGCAAGTTCCCAAGTGTAGACGTACGGTGAACTTCATGGACTTGGCACGGGCGGCACGGAGCTTTCCGGACACAACAACCTCGCAACCCTTGGCACCAGACTCCATAATGAAACGGAGGACACCGTAGCAGGCACGACGAACAGCAAGACCGTTAAGGAGCTTGTAGCGGAGGGACTCGCACTGAGCGACAGCGGAGAGACCGCGGTTCTGGACCTTGGCGGCGTAGAGGGAGACGGAGTTCTCGGGGAACTTGAAGCGCTTCTGGATGAGGGAGGTGAGCTCGCGGATGCGGCGACCCTGCTCACCGAGAACCTCCTGGGTGTGGGTGGCACGGACAACTGGAAAGCCCGTTAGCATCAAATCCCCCATTTGGATTCCGCAGATCCCTTTGCGATCGTAAAGTGGTCTCTTCCTCCTCTTTCCAGGCAGTTTCACCAGCAATTTTCAAGCGATCACACGATGGATTGATTTTTCGGGTTCGACGTACTGATGTCGGTGACAGTGGGAGTCACACGGACTTCCACACCGGAGTAGCCCTCCTCGGCCAGCTCGCGCTGGAAGAACTCGTTCAGCTCGGCATAGAAGACACCGTCGGCGACGAACTTTCTGCGCTTAGAAATAGCTCCCTGAACAGCGGCCATTTTGACGTTCCTGGTGGTGGTGGAATCGGGGGTTGTCGACGGAGGGGATCGTGGTCGAGAGACTTCAATTCTGAGAGTATATTATTTAGTGGGGATTTTTCGGGACTAGGGCTGCCTGCCCGTTTGGGCCAGGGCTCAACCCTCGCTTGCCGGCGCCTTCCCTTTTCTGTCTTAGCGTTTTCACCTTATCTTTGAGGCAAAATTAAGGCAACAAGGCAGTCATATCATAGAGTACATACAACTGCTCCGACATCATTGGACAAATCACTTTATTGGTCGTTTGAACGCGGATGCGTACTACAAAGTTGTAAATGCTTGAAAACCATACCCGATTCCTTTCATTACCCTGGCTCATTGCATCTCTACTTCTAACTCGGTCGGTCTGTCCGTGCCCGCTGAGAATGCAAGCTTAGATACGCCCGACGTGACTGCAGCTGTCATCCCCGACACATCCGTCAGGTTACCAGCACTCTCTGGCCCAGCAGTCTCAATACCAGTCAGCACCGTACTTTTCGGGATGATTCTGGATGTTGCTGAGGAACGGGGGCCATTCATCTCTGCATCAGTTCGACCGAATACCTCATTCCACCACCGTGTTTCATTGACCCGGGGGAAAATAAGTCGTTCCTTGCCACGCTGATTGTCATCGATGACAGGGTCATATCGAGGGTTCGTGAATTGTTCCTGGCGAGCGAGGAAGTAGTCCCAGACGCTACGGGTTCGTTCACTGGCCTTGCAATCCACACGTTCTTTCTCGCTGTTGAACAAGAATGTACCAAATTGACAGGAATAGAGATGATAAAGAAGTCGCCGCAGGAAACGCTCATTAAACTCAAATCGTGTCGGATGCTGATGAAGCAGCTGATAAGTTGCATCCAAGAACTGATGGAACACAGGGCTCGTCTCTTTTGGTTTGGTTATCTCCTTCTCAGACACCCCTGAGCGTGGCGTAGTAGGCTTCTTCACAGGAGTGTCAGAGTCATAGTTCTGAAGCTCTCCATCTGTGTCCGGCAAAGAGTCACGGCTATTGTTGTCCCGACCAAAGAATCCTTTGGCACTAAGGAATGCATTTTCAATAGCCTTTCCCGCACCCCCACCGTCACCAAAGGCACGGTTGGGATCTCCGCCGATGCGTTCATTTTCGATCTGGAACCATTTTTCGCTATTCAAATGACCGGACCGGTGTCGGAACATGTGTCCAAATGAAAGCCAGTCTTTCTCTACCAGCACCATGAAGCCCTCCAGCGTCCGAAAGTAGGGGTCCAAACAAATCTGGCTCAGCGCACTAAGCTGACTTGTGCGGTCCCAGCCATCAGAGCAATGGATCAAAACATGAGAATGGGTGAGACCAACTTGACGAGTTATCAGTTTTGCTCCCTCCAAAATCCCGCCAATGTGCTTCAACCAGCCGCTGCGCGCTAGCTGGTCACGATTTGGCCCTAACGGAGTAACATCTGACTCCTTCAAGGCATCAATCACCTTGTTTAGCGAGTCTCGCATGACATGAATGTTGTCGATACCAAGATATGCCTTGGTAGCGAATTTGTAGTTGTCCATGTTCTCTGACCCAAGTCCCACGGCCTGCATGGCAAATGCATTCACTGTTGGGCGTGCGTCTACGATCAGGTTCGATTGCTGGGCGCCATATATCGAGCGGTGGTCCTCATAATCGCCACTTGTGGCGGCTAACAAGTTGTCCTCAATTTCCTCGGAATAGTTCAACTCTGGAACTGCCACCTGACTCGTCTCTGAACAGCTTGAGTCTGTTTCTTTCTCTGTGGCTGAGAAACTCGCCAGTGGCCGCTCGGAGCGAGACGTCAAGAATATAGCAGCCATAAGCTTTTCGTCTTGAATGCTTCGGTTCTGACGGACACCGACCAGCGGCTGTGAGCTTCTGGTGATAGTGCAATTATTGATAGGGTGAAAGTATGTGAGGGCTGGAATTCTTGCTCGGGATCGATAGCGCCCCGCATAATTAAGTGTATTGTCGGATATGGAACAAGGTACGGGGATGAGGGCGGGATAGGTTGGGGAGAACTAAGATGTGTTAATGAAGAACAGTTGGATTAATTTGCGCGAGCATACCTCATAGTTCACATTGATCTCTGAAAGGCGCCATGTTTTTCCTTCATCCAAGCAGCCCTGGCGTGCCCATTCCTTGCGCGGGTCATACAGCTGCCACCCATCAAACTCCTTTTCTGGCGGGGGAGGCTGATAGCTAAAGGCGTAAAGCTTATCGATACGACTAGATTTGCATGTCCATTGTTTGATAGTTTCAAACACATCTCGTGCTTTGTGCTCATTTATAAAGTAGAAACAGACGAACGTGAAGTCTCGGCATCGAAGACGGATGGAAGAGAGCTGGCGGGAGGCGGCGGGAGCTGGCCGCAGGGTGCAGAAAGCGATGATAGGATATGTGATCCACAGCTCTCTTGGCCTTGTTGTCACGCCCTTTATCTGGTCTTCTGGAGATACTGGTGGGGTGTGCGAAAAAATGAGGTGATGAGGGGTTAGATGGAGGGTGCCATCGACCTGCTCTCCGCGGCGAGCCAAGGTCACATTGTCAACCTGGAGCGACATGGTCAGTGAGTAGAATGTTCGTGATGCTCAAGATAGGGTTCTCCAAACCTTAGCAATCCGTGTTCTCTCCATGCCGTATAATCACTGGCGTGTGGCCTTCATGCTTAATATGCTGGGCAAGGGAAACAGTGGGAATAGTAGGATCTGGGGGCACAGCAGAGATTGTGAGTGAGATGGGTCAATATCGATTTATAGATTTTATTGTGGATCTTGATCAATCAGAGCGACTGCTCATTCTTAAGCACCTGCCCAGTCTTGGAGATATCGTGAGGCGCGCAGAGTAGTTGAAATGAGGTGTTGCACGTCACGAGCCTTAATCGGCTGTGGGGCCCTCACCAAGGTCACGCCTACGACCTGCAACATCTGCGGGTATATTCTATGTGTTGTTTGTATTTTATCTATACTCAGCAAGATGATGCATCTTGGCTTATGATCTTAAATTTCCCTAGGACTAACTCAGAGATGCTCAGGGTTTAGGTTACTGAACACTTCAAGTATTAATATGACATTTGGAGAGACAAAAAAAGTCCCTTCAACTTGGTATATTGGTTTTGATTGATATGTGCGTTTTGTTCAAAGGTAAATGCCGGAGAAGAGGAACTAGAACAAGAACTGCGATCTCTAAGGAAAAGGCTATATATCCATAGCTAGGGGAAGCATAAGAAACACTAGACGTAACTCTTACCTCTGTAAGCTAACCTCGCACTTTCTTGGTGTTGATTCACATCTCTTAACTTTCTTCTTCATCTGCAGAGTTATAGTTTGGCAAATCACCTCTAACAAAATCCTCGAAACTACTTTATCAACACCAAGATGCCACTTTATCCGGAGAATCGAGTGTGTCATAATTGTGGCACAGTCGGGTTTGATCGAAACCCTTGTCCGCAGTGATCTATAAAGATTGCCATGATCCCAACCAATAGGTCGCCAAATGCCTAAGAGCCCAACTTCATGCAAAACTGTTGTAGTAAAGGCCCACTGGCCAGAAAAAATATTAAAAAAAAATTGGTGAGACCGAATATGGGACTCTTGACTGTGAATAATGTGAATCATAATTTCTCGGTAACTGTGTCTATTCAGGGAGAATTTCGGCTAGCTAGATTGAAAGCCAAAACATTATTCGTGTCTTAAAAAGGTAAATATTTTACAAATTGTACAGTAAATGTGGGCAGACCCAAGACGCCGCCATCCCATATGATGGCCATTGATGCACGCTGTACAAACTCAAAGAAAGAGTGACCTATGCTGTTAATCCACATATCTTTTGCCGTGGATTTTGAATGCCATGTCACATGCCGCGTTGTAGAACGAATGGAACTCATGATCAAGCTGCTGATATTGGTCATTTTCTGCGGCCGAGTCAATCTGAGGAATCTCCATGCCCATAGAGACCTCATTTGTCCGAGCAGCAAGGAGCGAACCGCTTTCATAATACCGGTAGTCAAGTGGCCGCCCATTAAAGTTGTACTTTTGAACAATGGCACCTCGAATATCGTTGAGTGGCGGGAACATGTATTCGACGGTGACGTTGTTCTCTGCCATTGATTCGTCCATCTTCTTGGACTTGACTCTGTGCGAAGCAGGCTGCAGAACAAGATCACTGGGAAGAGTGACGTTACAAAATATAGGAAGTGGAACAGCAGCTTGCGAAGCCTCGCTGCTGACGATTGAGCCCTGGATGGAGGTTTTGAGGCTTTGCAGCATTACTTCGATCTGTGGAGAAGAAGGCTCGGGGAAGAAGTTCTCAGAAGAGCTTTGCGGGAGTTCTGAGTTGGAAGACGGTTTATACAGGAGATCTTGGGAAACAGTTCGCGTAAAACGTAGGTCAAGACCATTTTCAGGAAGTAGGTAGTCAACGCTGTTTGTGGTGATAATAGCCTTAACGCTGTGGACATCCACGCCATCGAAGTTTGAGTTCATCGCCACCTCAATTTCGAGTTCCGGCGGGGATCCTGTGTTGAAAGTTGGAGACAACCGAAGTCGAAATAGCTGTGCTTCGTTCTTTGGGCGGATAGGCATAAGTGAGTTGATGAAACGCGACACCAAAGGTATGTCATTTGTGAAAGCCCGTGGAAGGGACAGTCTCCCCAATTGTGCCGGACTGATGGCTGTATCATCAAAAGAGGGCTTTTGCAAAAAAAGGCATTTCCCAACCACGGCCGTTACAGATTCATGCAAACCGGCAACTGAACCGGTTTTCGGGATAGTAACTCGGAGAAGCTTCAATAGTTCATCTGAGAGTCGTGTTTGATGCCTATCGAAGAAAGGGGTTTCGAGATTTTCTGCCTCCGCATTTTGACTGGAAGACATTGCCCACCGGAACCACGACTTTTGCTGCTCAAACCACGAAGCATGAGCTTCTGGTTTGTAGTTATAGGCACTGGCGAGTTCCGAAGCAGGTAAATATGTTGAGAATGGTGTCGATGGAGATGTGGTGTTGGATAAGGCCAAATTCAAGGTCCTCCGCGCATTCTCTGCCCCCAACTTATTCTCTGCAAGATAGAGAATCTTTTGTGGTGGCCTGTGTGCTTTATGTTCCACATGTACCCCGTGTGTGCTGTTGACCCATTCCAAAAAGTCTGGGGTAAAAACTTGACTGTTTACATCTCCGTTGATATGTAAATTGATTCCAACATCATCCTCGCGGATTCTGCCAGTGGCATCGATGATAATCTCATGAACAGACTCACAATCATTTCGCTTGCCAGTAAGTGATACCAGGCCCGCAGATTGTGTGACATCAATGCCACAGCCATGGAGACTAGCTAGCTCGTGGAAAGAAAAATGCTCAGCATGGAGAAGCAAGGATATGGACTGAGCTGGTATACGGAATTCCAATTGGCCACGCTCGCCATCAGCCACCAGCTGCCAACACTTCCGAACGATTGTCTCTGCAGCCTGGGATTTTCCCCTAAAACCCTTGGTTTTCCCCAATATTTTGTCTTGCGATTTGGAGCTACTCGAGCCCCATGTCCAACCTTTCTCTTCTACCACAGAAGTGCGGTTATGCTCTGAAATGAACCCCAGTAATTGCTTGTATGTGAAAGAGGAAGCCAATTTTGACCACAGTGCCTTGAGATCGGCAGCAGGCAAGATCTGCCCCAGTTGATATGATCCACGAACCTCATTAATTCTTTCCTGGACCGACTTATCACTGGGCGATGAGTTCTCGTCATTAATTTCATCCAACATTGCGCTGATTGTGCCGCCAGATTCATTTTCGAGGTTTTTGTTTCGATTACGATTCAACACTCGGCGGCGACGTGAAGGCACAACAACAATTTGTCCTGGCTTTCCAAGAGTGTCCACATCCAATGTGAATCTGCCTGCTTCACATTTTCCATTATCTTTCGATTCGCGGTTTCGTTCGAAATTGGGTCTATTGAAAGCTTCACGTTCATGATCCCGACTCCAGTTGCTCTGGTAGCGGGGGAGAACGGCGTGTGGGTATGTCAATAGTGATCTCCGATATAAAAACGACTGGAAGCTCAGAAGCCCCAGCTTGGTCCCTGCAGGGCGTCGAAGCATGATAGAACAGTAGGTCTATTGCAAACGTGGAGACGGCAAATTATCTTGCGATCGCTTTTCTCCGGCGACAATCGGGGCACTAGGCTGCGATAAGAAATTAAGTTGTGCCTCAGGCATAAATTCCCAGGCCACAATATCTACAAAGTACAGCGTACGATGTGCAAAGCTCTTGAACGAATTCTTCTATTATAATAACAACGCTCTCTCAAATTTCTCTCTCAAATTTCTCTCTCAAGTGTAAGTGAGAATGCTTGTTTAGAAATAACGAATTTAAGCCACATATTAATACATAGAGCAGAAAAGAATGTAGAATTCATTCTTTTGGTACAATCTCCCAGCTGCGCAAGTCTTCTCTCACATCGAACTCTGAAAGCTCGTTATTCGTATCAGGCGCCTTCCATGCCCGATCCTTGGCACCTTCATACAACTGCTGCTCAATGCTTCCACCATTTCTCAGATGTCCAAGCGCGGCAAGAGAGTCTGGGGTCTTGCTATTACTGTGTGAACGATTGCTGGAAGTACTTTTGGGGCGCCGTTCGAAACTGGATGACAGCTTCTTCCCGGAGCGGCTTTGTCGTGGGGCTGTCTCTGCACTCGATAGAGCATCACGATGATCACCCGCTGAGATGTCAGCGTCGGCACTGTGTGCCTCGTTGTTCCAGCCAGAACTTCCAGCAAACAATTCTTCAACGAACTTATCAGCAGGCAGATCGCCGGCTCTAGAAGACCATGACGCTGCTAAAGTGCGCCGATAAATGTCTTGCATATCGGCAATCTCCCGGCTCTTGATGTCAATAGACGGCAAACGGCCAAATTCATCAGCGTTGACGGGCTGTTCGGCGGACTGGACAACTCCGGCAATTCCTCCAAAGACGGTGGCAGATTTCAGGTGCGGTCTTTTTTAATTAGTATTGAGATTGTGAATTGGAAGTAAGTTTGGGTCTTCGCTTACGTCGTGAAGTTGCGGTCTCCTTCTAGCTGACGCATCGCGATCCCGATCTTAACAGTGCTGTTCACTTTACTCTCATGCATCAGGTATCGCCGAATAATCCCTTCACCTTCCCCGGATTTTTCCACGTATTCGGCAAGATTGAGTTTGATTTTTCCCAGCACGTTCTTTTCGGACATGGGCGACGAGGTAAACTCTTGTATGACTTCAAAATTGAGTTCACACTCCTGAAGAATTGATGTCCTATCAATAGTGAGCCTAACTTGAAGGCATTTTTCATAACCCCAGTAAGCGCGGTGGTCTAATAGAGTTGCTTTCTCCGTGTGGCCTTGGTGTTCTGTGGAGCTTGACGATGGCAATCGCCATCGTACAAGAGCGACGCTGTTGCCTAAGGGGACATTGTTGATATCGATGATCTTTTTGAGGTCAGAATTCTTGACAGTATTCCCATAGTCGGTGTAAAATGCATACCCTTAAAACGAGCTCGAACCTCGGCTGTAGCAGAAGTCAGTTATATGTTTACCCCACTTAGGCTTGTTAGGTAGCTTACTCGTCTATTCTTGGGGACTACCGTTAATGAGTTAGCTAGCCTACATCAATCAACAAGTATAGAGGAACATACCAAATGCCTGCATATTAACAGTCACGTCACCGGCTCAAGCTTGTCAGAACTCAGATGTTACAAACACATCAACTGGTACGCTCAGGGCCGGCCTCGAGGAAATATCTCGATCTGGAGCTGCGAAGAGAGTCAACTAGCATGAATATCAATATCAAGCAGTTATGGGGTGGTCAATCTGGCTAAGAGTCTCACCGCATATACCGTGGACACCAGAGGCGGTGAATTGGGATGAAGTGGCAGAATCAATAACCAGACTCCCCGAGGTCACTTCTACGCCAACACTCATCTCACCTTTTTTTCGAAAAGCTCAGGCGATCACTGCTAGTTGTTCCAGAAATTCTACAATTTTGAAACTTCTTTCTCTCTCCATGAACATGGTGAAACCCGAACCTACTCCCCCCGCTTCATCTCCCCCGGCCGAAGCCACAGCCGTTCCTTTAGATTCAACAACCCGCGTCATCCCAATCCACCCTGATCTTGTCGAAATAAAAGTTCCAGATGGGCCACTGCCATCATATCGCTATCATCCAGTAACATGCCGGCCAATTAACCCCCGAGACTACCAGACTGAGCTTCAGCAACTGGAAGAACAATACAAATCACGCGAGGCGGCGCTCCATGCGCAGGAACAAATTTCCAAAGAAGTGAAAGAGAAAATTGAGGCTACTAAACGGAAACGAGAGGAGATTCAAAAATCCATGGACAAGAAGGTCAAGGAACGCGACACCGAGATGAAGGTCGTGTCTAAATTCCAAGAGACAAAGGCGTCGGACATTCCGTCTTGAGGGAGCCCATGGCAGCATTTTCCCTAAACCATTCATATCACAAAGGGGAAAATCGAGCTTTCTTCATAGCCTTGTTACCTTTCCTGGTGAACAGACTTCCGTTCAAAATAGAGACTTCATTCACTCTCAGCCACGCTCGAAAGAACTATTCATCATTGATTGCGGTGAAGGCAACTTCTTCATGTCTCACCATAGATGATATCCTTGCCAACACGCCCCAGGGAAAAAAATGCCTTTCGATTACAAATGTGAGCAAATGGACAAGCCAAGGAACCTTCTCGCATATGTCTACCTATGTGAGAGTTAGCTTGAACACTGTGCCAACGGGCTATCCAATCCAACTGCAACATCTTGGAATGAATCTCACTTTCCTCTTTTGATTTTAAGGACTGGGTCAACAATGTCAACGCCTCGCGTGAACACAATCAAACTTGTGAAACCCGACGAGCTATCATTACATGTGAAATAACTATTCGATCTACATGGCAACACATCCAGATCAAATCTTCGGGAATTTCAAATGCCATCAATCAACTCGTTTCGTTGTTTGATTATATCGCATTAAAAATAATCATGCACAAAATTGAGCGACCATGGATACTTCGCTGCTAAGGGAATTAAAGAGAAAAAAAATTTCGAAAGCTTCTCACAACGACCCGAGCAGCTGCGCTACAAGCGAAATGATCTAATTCAGAATCAGCAACACATTCAACAGGCCAGAAAGGAGATATGGGACTTACATTATCGCCATCCTCGACCAAAGTCTGGGTCTTGTTCACGAACTTGGGCGTGGGTAGAAGAGCAGAGACCTGGCACTGGAAATCAGACCACCTACCTCCTTGACTGAATTCGCAGTGAGAGGATTGTTGGCGCTGCCTAGTAGACCATTGATTTCCTTGACGGCATCTTCTGTCAAGAGGTTGTTGGCGTTGGAGATCAGAGGGCCGATAGGCGTGAGGATTTCTGGGGTCCGGTACTTCGAAACGCCGCCAATCAGGCCTTGGGTTTCGGTCACAAATCTAGGCGTCAAGAGGCTGCTGGCACTGCTGACGAAACCACTGATCTCCTTGACAGAATCGGTGGATAAGAGGCTGTTGGCATTGTTGGGAAGGCCACCGATATCTTTGATTGTTGTAAGCGTCAGGAGAGTACTGGCATTAACCAATGTCCGAGGCCTCTATTCTCCTGAATAGTTGAAAAGGCCAGGAGCTTGTTAACGTAGCGAAGGACAATGTTGATCTCCTTGAATAGCTCGGAATTTGGGAAGGAACCCTGGACTGCATCTATGGTTAAAATGCTCCATCAAGTAAAGATGCGTGCACGTTAGCTTGATTGTGTGCGCTATGTAGCAGGGCATGAGGCTGGTGGGAGAAGCAGGGAGTTCTCGGCAACATTTGAACTATCAAACCCCTGTTACAAATTTTTCGAAAAAAGTAGAATTCTCCCACAAAATTCCTCTCGTGCGGGGCCATGTTCATATTCGTTCCTGGCCAGACCTCATAGATAGTGGGAACGGTTGGGACGAACTGATTGGACAACACACATTCATTTCCTGGGGAAATTAGCCCTACTTTTGTCCCGTATGTACTTTCAACCCTTTTTGTTAGTCTACCCCAGACTCATTCCATTGAGTAACAAGATTCTCTTGGCATCATCTATCTGACCTCGCTCGCTATGCTTTTCTTATTACCTGAAAAGACTTTATCGTACAGTGCCCGATCACCCTATGCTCCCCTACGCTAAAAATGAAAGCCTTTAGAGGCCATTGGATGCGGGATACGCCGTTCCTGCACTAGTCCATTGCTGTATATTTTCTTCTTCGTCATAGGAATCTGTGTCAAATTGCCTGCTCTGTAATGGAGTAGACCTCGCAGTGATTTAGAAGAGATGTAGGGAGATGAATTTTTGCACTGTTTTCAAAGTTGCAAATTCAGTGATAGAATCTGGTGTCAGCTCGTTAAACTAGTAGACCATATTCTATTGATTATAAACCCCGGGTAGCAAATAAGCTGTTCTCATAAGGATCAGTGTGTTGGTAAACGCGGCTTGTCTCGGAACTTGATTCCTTGAGCTGATTTACTATCGAACTAGCGGCAATTCGTATTTACTGGTGAGAAACTAAGGAAAAGGCTCAGAATTCAGATTTGGGAATGTTACGTATTTAGTGGTGAATTGTCAAAGAGGTTGAGTTCTTTAGAGCCATAAGAGACAGCTATATATTCCAAAAGTACAGGAAGCTGAAGTTCCTTCCTCGCATCTTTACTTGTTGGTTAGCAGCGCAAGTCAAGTTGGAGCAACAAAATGAGAGATAACACGCAGAGATTTTAACATCCTCATGAAGCGAAGAACATCACGATTTTGATAAAACTACCAAGATGTATTGTGCTCTTTCCGTGGTAGCGATGTCATTGAAATACTGAACCACTTTCCGACCAGATAGATCCTTTTGTAGGCTGCATTGTTTCTAAGGCTGCTGACTCGTACAAAATCGATCGGATACGGCTGTACGCCTTGCTCAGAGGTTTGGGTGCCACGCGACAATCCAAGATGCCCAAGGAGAAGAGTAAATTTTTACCAGGGCTTCTGCAATATGAGCAAAGATTTTTGAGTCGCGAGATTCATGTTCAAGTTATCTGATATGTGCCTAGATAAGACTCGGATCCCGCGGCTATACCACTTATTTATGAACGAGCCCCTTCGATAGATCTAACCACAAGTCACGGTGAAGCAGTCGCTTAGTCTACCTAGAAAACAATGATTTGCTTTGGGTTTACCTAGGAGATTGTTTAACAGACGGTATATCGTGCAGCATTGTCTGGCTTCATTTGAAATTGAACATCATCAGCACACATATGAGTCATAACCGATGCAGTCTACTTATGGGAATGAATGTCAACATACTGTTCCACTCAAAGTTCAGCGATGTCACTATTCCAACGTGGTGGCAGCCTGACAAGCATGAAACTAAGCTTGAAACGGGGCCCCAAGGAGCTGGGTTTCAGTACCCGCCTTGCTGTGGATGTGGTTAAGATCTACCTCGAATTCCCGCTCCCAACTCTTGCCAACTCATATCTCTTCTCCAACTGGTAAAACAAGTGAAGTGACCAGAGGGAAGCAAGAAACTACCATGCGCAATGGCTAGTGCGTTGCATGTTTACATGTGGGGCGGAGATCTCTGCCACAACGTGGCGAGCAACGTGCACCGCCTCATATCTATTTTAGGAACAAGCAACTCGGTCGGATATTTTGCCAATTTGTTCTATACCCACATGATAGCTATGTTGTATACAACAATGACGAAACCTCATCCGACTCAAAGCGAGTACCCCCTCCTTCCAACACTCTGTGCACCCATACAAGACCATGTGACCGAACTCACATGCAGCAGGGGTTTCATGTTAGGGAAGAGGCAGAAGGCAAAGAGGGCCCTGCAGAATCCAAGAGTAAGATGAGATCATTTAGAGACTTGTATCATCAGGAAAATGATGAGAAACGGTATTTCATAACAAAAGTGCGAGTGGCGCCGTCCCAAAGTCTGGCAATGGAGGCTCAGCCCAATGGCGGATCGCAACAGGGATCTCAGCTTTCTGTGCATCGGCTGGACTCGGTTGGTCTCAGCGAATCCTAGCCTTGAATGTGACTCAAGACGAGCCCTGCCCCACGCTTGCTCGACCCTCTATCAGCTGAGGTCTACGACTCTGTATCTTCTTAGCGGCACTCGATAGGTCCAAAAAAAAAAAACCTTGACCGGGTTGTGATGGATTTGTACCGTTTAAATTATTTTAATACTGTAAACCTTGGAATACTGTTTTCTCTTCCCCATTGATTTTCGGTTGGATATTGAAACACAACGGTATCGAAACCCACTGAAAATGGGATCGAAATGAAGTCTTGGCCTGCAGGCTGCAGCCAAATTTAAATAGAGTCTTCACTCAAAAGCCAGGGGAAATCTACTGTTGAGGAACCTATATCTCTTGAGGTATGTAGATCTTGGCGCACACCGAAATAATATATGCACATTGCCCAGCTGAGAAATGTTTTCAAGTCCCCGCTAATTGCAGATAAGTAAATTTGAGCGCTTTAAGATAACATGGAGACTCGGAGGTTTTCTGTTCTTTTGTGTTTAAGCCGTTTAATGGATCATTGAGGCTTAGCTGTTGCAGTTTAGGGCATCATGCAGCTGTTCTGGCCAAATGGACGTGCAACCTGAAGACTGGCACTGTGCGAGTGAACCCTCAAATATGATGAAACATTTGCATCTTGCGTACGGAGTATTTTCAACCGTTTCAACTATTCCAGTATTCTCGCCACTGAGTCTCCAGGTTGCAGACCGGGGAGTCCGAGAAGCGTGGCCACTGTACGGAGTAGATGTACATTGACTCCATTGGCCTGCATGCCCAAAAATGTTTACTCCGTACAGAAAACCTGAATTAAAACATGAACCCAGAGTTTTCTGTAGATTCTTCTAGAGAAAAAATTTGAAATGCTCTAAAATTAACGCATTATTGTGGCCATTAAATCTCCACATGGTAGTTCCCCTCTTGTCGTTCTGTTCGACCTCTTTTCCTTCTATAACCACTCTTGACTTTCATGTCATCTCCTTTCTTTTATACTCTAATCTCTGTTCTTTTTGCGCATTCGCCCGCACTTTAATACTGGATTTTACGACAATTTCAACACCATTTCAAGATCCAAAAATCATTTCTGTGTGGGCGAATGTCGCCTGTGTGATACATGTTCCCGATTCTACACTCTTTTATATCAGCGATACAAACGCCGGACGTATCACCTTTCGCGCAGTGTCATAATGCCAACAGTCTTACTCCCATCGTCGGCCGCTGCTTTTGCGCCGCGATCATCCCCGAATGTCGTGTTGAGCACCAAGGTTGAGCCTTGGTTGACGGTCACCCTGAAGCGAGTTAACCGGGTCAAGCGTCCTCTGAACAATGTTATCCAGCATACCCGGTGTCTGACAGAGAAACTCTCATCGAAAAATGCCATCTGGACCCTGTGTTCCATGATGTGCACCAAAGCCCCCCAGTCAGAGTTGGAGAAGAATGAGAACCAGCTCTGGGAAGCCCTGCACAACCACCAAATTATTCACATAGAGGCCTACGTTGTACATGTCGACATGGTCTCCCGCAACGAGGTGGCCTTCAAGTTAACTCCGGAAACCATCGAATCCCTAGTCGATTTTCACAAGGACGTCTATTTGGTGGATGCCGCCGCCAATACACACAACTGGTCAGGAAAGCATGGTGAGCTGAAGAGATTACAGGAGGAGTTTGTTCAAGCCGCCAACAAGTTTGTCTACCGTGCCAATGCTCAGGCACTCGAGGGGTTAGAGGAAGACGGCGCCGGGGAGCTACTGAGCGGTCGCAGCGAAGAAGCAAAGGCAGCCATCGGCAAGCTCTTTGTCCCACTGGTTGCCCCGTCACCACCAGTGGTGGATGTCATGCGCCCAATCCCTATCCTGCCTAGTTCGACGGGCCCAGAAAACTGGTGGCAGAACCCGGTGCCCCAGCCAGCGCTCCTCGAGTCGTGGAAAGTACCGTCGCCCAGCCCCAGCCCGGCCACCACGGGTGATTCTAATCCGAATCTTTGGGGTAGTCTCAGTTTCAATGATGCTCAACTTGCATCACCGACCTCATCTTACAGCCAACCCTTCACACCCTCGCCGTTTCAGACCTACAACTCCCTGCCGACCTGCATGCCGACGACATCGGCCGCTATCAGTTCTCTCCCGTTGCCAGCCATGTTCCCAAGCATGCTTGTACAACCCTGTGGTACGGCTGTCAATATTGGTATGGGAGGCTTAAGCTGGGGCGACTTTGCCTCGCCGCCATATGGCACGATCGTTTAGCTTGGCCCTCCTGGGTAGACTCGGTGATGTTGACCGCTGCAAGTCCAGACTTTTCCGATTCGTGTAACTTGGGGTTAAGAAACGTGGATCGTTGATTAAAACTAGACGCGCACACCATCTTTCGGTTTATACGACTCCCCCTCTTTTGTTTCGTCTCTCTCTTGAGAACCCGCTTCCAAGCAACGACAATTCGCATTCTTGACGGCGTTCTGTTCGATTTGACATGTGCATATATGATACTCCCTCCTGCCTTTTGCATGATAACCAGAATTATCTTGTTCTGAGTTTGTTTTCATATTTCCGATATTTGATTTCAGCGTCAGCGATGGTTTTTCTTTTTTTCCATTTTCCATTTTTCATCGCATCAGGAAGCGGCGGGTCGGCTCTCTGTTATGTTTCGTTTCCTTTGTCCTGCATATATGTCGTGAAGACTGGTCTGCCTCGCGATATGTGGAGGATATGAATATGGATGTAGAATGTCCAGCGTTGTATTTTCGATTCTTCTGTCGCAGCTCGATGGAAAGTGGGGGAAGCAAGATTGACTAACTCGACTGGATTGGGTTCAGTGTATGCTTTTGCTTTCTTGCCTTTCCTGTACGGTCTGTCCTTCTGGTACTGGGTTCCGGACCGGCTGGTTCTCTTAATCGGAGAATCGGAGGATAGGTTTATGCGATTTCGTCACATTCCTTGTATCTATGATACTTGGTTGGAGAAAACATTTTTGCTCATCTTTGGTTCAAGGAGGTGAATATCAGCAACCCGAGTGTAGGCGAAGATTGCCTTCAACCCTCGTCGGACTCGAGCACATCCGCCTGTGGCAGATACCGAGCGCAAAGGGTGATGCACTGGATTTTCCCCTTCGGTCTGTGACCTGTGGATCTTCACATCCCGCCCTAAGCAACGAATGGGCTGAGTGACAGTCATCTCCGTCCTCTGCGCTACAAACTCACCTCCATTGACCTTAGTAGGCAATGATAGATTCATCTCTTATCGTCCAGGCCGGGTTTGAGAAATTTCTGGGTAAGCTTGGTCTGTCGGTGGGGCTCTTTCACTGGATGGAAGAGCCTTTCATTCTTTGTCCCTACGACAAGAATCAGATGCTCGATCTGATAGTTACTCTCCTTTATGATCTATCTGATCATGGGGCTGGTCCCTTGCTCTGGCTGCTTCTTTTCTCTTAGTTTTAAATTATCCTTCAGCAGCTTTATTCAAATGTACACGTCTCTTTTAGCTCAAGCAGTCTAAAAAGCGCATACACAATTTCTCCCTCCTAGCTTGTACCCTATCACTGGAGATTCGTCATGCCGAGGGTACAGTATAAAGTACGGTAGTGATAAGTGACAAGATGAAAATTCATTGACAGATCTTAAATAATATAAATTTATCTCTCAAGGTCCAGTGCAAAACCCCTTGCAACATTGTCGGGTATCTTACCCCATTGCATGACGTCAACTGCCAAGATCCTACAGTTAACATCACATCGTTGAACAAGACTCGCTTTCGTCTACAATCACTCCCTTAAACCTATCCTTTACATCTTAGTTGGCTTCTTTTTATGTGCTGTCTCTTTCCATTTTTTATTTTATTGCGTTTGTTTCTTTTCCGAGATTTACCACTTTGTGCTTCATCTGTTTATAACCTAGACTCTTTCCACGAAGAAACAGTTCAGCATGAGCAAGCCACCTGAGCAAACCACCTGAGCATTTTTGGATATTGCAGTTTTCATAGATTCCGGAGGTATTGATGGCCAGGTGTCCGTCACCGCTTATTCCAACTCCGTGTCCTGATTCCGGCACAACGACGAGCTAAGAACCCCCACTATTCGTAGCAACGTCATTGCACTACCAACGCAACTCAAGCTTTACAACATCACGGCAGACTAGCAATTAAAAAGACACAACACTTGTCCTGCACCTATGGCTACCTTACACGAGGCCCTTCAATGCCTCAAGCCGACATCATGGGACGAAGTTCCCCAGGATCCCAACGAGCTGCGCGACTACGTGCACGGGATTTTCAAAAACAGCCGCCTGGTAGCGGAGTCACTTCCAGACCCCCCAATCTCCGATATTGATGACTACCCCGGGCTAGATGATACGACAAATTCCTCCGCCAAACGAATCGTCCCATCATCCGTACGAGTGGGAGAAACCGACCCAGAGATTACAGACCTGCAAAAAGAATGGGGGAAGCCACTCAAGATGGGCGGGCCAAGAGATAATCCATTAGGCGTGACTGTCTGGAAACTTTCCGCGAATGACGGCGGGGGCTCATGGTTCGGGCGACGGAGTGTGCACGAGGGCCTCTCATTCTCGCGTTGGCGGACGAAGCTCTCAACTGAGTACGATGAAACGCTCAGAGTAAATCGCAAGAAGATCGAGAAGGGACAGACGCCTGACGAGTGTATCCGCGGGATCGGCGCCGAAGAAAAAATCGAGAACATCGAGGTCAAGAACCGTGATGGTTCGATTTTGGGAGATTTAATGGTTTACCATGTCTCAGCGCAGTTTCCCAAGCCTACTGCTCCGCGTGACTTCGTGGCGTTGATTGTCAATTCCGATTATGGATTGCAAGCTGGCGGAAGTAAGCAGCCTGGTCGCAGCTGGATGATGATCTCTAAGCCGTGTGATCATCCCAAAATCCAGCATAAGCAGGGGTATACACGCGGACAGTATGAGTCTATCGAGCTCATCCGAGAGATTCCTAAGGGGGACGACAGTAGAGGCAACTCTTCTAGCCAGGGGAGTAAGAAGAATAGTGATTTTCCATCGTCTACTCTGCAGCAGCCTGAGGGGTTACCTGAGCAGAATGGAGCTGGGGATAACGAACAAATGAATCCTGTTGAATGGATCATGGTCACTCGGAGTGACCCAGGCGGTAACATCCCACGGTGGATGGTGGACAAGGGAACACCGCGAAGCGTGGGAACGGATGCTGCTAAATTCATCAACTGGGCTCTTCAAGATGACAAGCCTCCCAAACAAGAAGAAGGTGCAGGTGCGGAAGCTGAAATTACTTTAGCAGGCGCCAAAGCTGAATCCGGAGAGTCTGCGAATGAATACGACTCCGACCATGCAGACGACTCGGATTCGGATTACGATTCACTCGACAGCGACGGCGAGCATTCGCATCATGGTCTGATTGCCAGTGTCGCAGGCTTGCTCATAACTGGACTGGAACGGTTCACACCACAAGTTCTAGGCTATGGTGCCCACACTCAAGTGTCGGGTGATCTCCCAGCCGGGGATGAGGTTTCCTACATTGATGCAGATGGCATGGCACACCTAAAACCAAAAATTGTTCAACGGGATGAGCAAGCGTTGGACCCCGAATCTTCAAGATCCCGCGAGAATGACCATGGTTCGCTCTCCTCGGCCAATTCCGAACCAACTGCCATTGACGAGGCACACAACAACATTTCACCTGAGGAACTGATCAAAATGACAAAGGGTGGCAAGCTCACGTCCCATGAGAAAGAGCTCGCGAAGCTAGCCATCCGCAAACGCGAGGTCGAAGGCAAGCTAGACGAAATCCGGGCCGAACTCGAAAAGTTTCAGATCTCATCGCAACCGTCTAGTGTCTCAGGGACACCAGTAAAAGGCATCAGCGAGGTAGACAGCGACACCAACGGGATGCGCAAACGCGCAGCGACGAACAGGTCTTCCAGGCCCGCCAGCACTCGCACACAGCAGAGCCAGAGCCAACCTCAGGGCGAGGTCAGCAATGAAGACCAGTCATCTTCTGCGCAGACGGCAACCCCTGACCCCGCATCGTTTCTCCCTAAAGCAGCCTCTCACTTCCTTCATGGGGAAGCTAAGCTGCTTAAGCAGCTGCGCAAGATCGAGGCTAGCCAGCTAAAGATTGCATCGAAGATTCAAGCGAAGCAGAGAAAGGATGAGGAGCGCTCGAAGAAGTCTAAGTCCAAGAACAAGTCTGAGGTTGATAGCTTGAAACAGGAGGTACAAGATCTCAAAAAGGAGGTCAAACAGCTTCGCTCTGAACGTAAGAAATGGGTCGATCTTGTTTCTTCTTTGCAGACGGAGAATACAAGGTTAGCGGCGAAGTCGGAGGATACTTGATTGATTGGTAAACGACAATTTTAAAGCTTGTACATACTGCACGGTTTGTTTCCTAGCCTCCTCTACTTGTTCATCTTTGGTTTTGATCGAGATCTGGCCTTTACCATGGGTTTATAACTACACTACACTATATCACTGTATACATTTACGGAAGATGTTTTCGATATTTGACATCTTCATGTTTCAAATATTATGACTGGATTGTGATATTGCAGACCATGACCAATCAGAGATACAGCTCTGGAACTACTCTTTTCATGCGTTGAATGCAATTTAAAAACTGAAAACTCATTAAGCACCGCCATGCCATCCATCACAATGCTGGTTCCAAGGTTGGGTCTTTGGAAATTTGCTGTTGACGGCATATTTTTCTTTGGTAGGCATGGCTGATTGCGAAATTTTCCCTTCTATGAAAAGAATTGAAGGTTTCTTGGAAAGTCCCCTCAGCCAAAAAAAAACACGGGCAATCGTTAGGGGATACCAATCCCCAGAAAGACGGATCTATCGGCCTTGTATCATGGAGCGTTGGGCATGTTGAGTTGAAATTGCTGTTCTGTGCCGAAGGAGTCGAAGTGAAATCTCCAATAAGATGGGTCTTTGGTGGGTTCAAACCCGTACACAGAGGGTATCATCTCTTGTCAGCAAGTTTGCTAAGGACTAGAGATGGTCGGAGGATCGGAAAAATTGGAGGGTCCGCCTTCCTGTATGGAAAGTAAAGGATGTGACAAGGGGTATCAAGAAAAACAAGAATAAACCACACTGAGTAGCGTTACTCCTGGGTCTGAATAGTTGGATCACACTTGTTAGCCAATCCATCTTTGTATCATGTTGAGCAACTCTGCAAGACACCACACACCTCTGGCGGATTACCAGCGCCTCTGACCATTTTCTCCAGCATCATTGCGCGCACTTTCTCTTTTGGTTCGCCCATGCCAACAGCCATGTAGGACAGCAGGGGAGGGTGACCGACGTAGGAGGAGTAGCTGTCACGGAGGATGTTGGACGTCCATTCATATTTGGTGGTATCGGCATGTCCGGTACCGATGTAACGGGCCTGGAGGGCCTCAAGGTTCTGGATGGTGCGGAGCTTGTCGGCCATGTTGGATAGTAGAGACCTTGACGTTGGATGGATAGGGAAAGCGGGAAGTTTGAAGGAGAGCATTGACGCCTCAGGCACAAATTGTATACACTCACGTGATCGTGGCGGGCATCTTGAGATTATTCGACTCTGTTTTTTCCTTTAATTGATCATTTGGTTGTTAAGGAAGTTGTCGTTTGGACTGTAATCACATCCAATGTCTGTTGATACAACTGATTTCTCATTATCGTCCCGGATAGCAGCGCTGGTTCATGCACATTTCGAGGCTCTACCAACGCGCAGCAAACCAACCATATTTCCGGATGGATCAAGAGAATGGATTCCAATGACCGGTATTGTAGCAGTTAAAGGTATTTGTTTTTTTTTGGGTCAGAAGCGAGTACATTTCCCTCTTCCATGTATGTACAGTGGAGCGGATCGATCTTGTCTCTCTTTCGTCTCACACATCTCTCTTTTTCGATTCTAACATTTTTTTCTCTTCGCTAATAGGAGAAAACACACCTTCAGAAAGTCTGACCTGCATATCTGTCACGTAAGTTATAACTTCCCACTTGCAAATCCGACCTAGTCATTTGCAAGGTACCTATATTCACAAAAGCTGATGTACAAGTAGGAGTGGTGCAAAATGCTTGTCTGCATCTCATATCCCACGCTGCAGTGGCCTTGTACTACATGACTGCCATGCTGAGATATTGGCCATCCGGGCATTCAATTATTGGCTTTTAACAGAATGCAACAGTGTCCTATCCCGGGAAAAGCAAATACCGAAAGCACATGATATACCTACCCCCGACAATCGAAAAGCCTCGGATTCTCCATTCATACAAAGGAGACAGATTGAAGAGGATGAAGAGAGTGTTGGTACACTGCCTACAGAATGGCCTCCTTTTGAGATTCGGCCTGATATCAAGATTTACATGTATTGCACATGTGCTCCTTGCGGCGATGCAAGCATGGAGCTCTGCATGGCAGCCCAAGAAGATGCGACACCGTGGAAAGTCTTACATCAGGATGGTACTTTACCAAGAATCCAAGACGCAGAGGTCCCAGATACAGAGACTCTTCTAGATGGCCGGGCCCACTTCTCTCTTCTTGGAGTCGTGCGTCGAAAGCCAGCGCGCATGGACGCCGAGTCCACACGCAGCAAGTCCTGCTCAGATAAGCTTGCGCTACGGCAAGTCTCCTCCTTGCTCTCCTGTGAGACCAGTCGCCTCATTGCTCCCACCGAAAACGCCTATCTGGCAGGTCTGATTCTCCCCGAGGACGAAATCAGTCACGTTGGCTGTAACCGCTCTTTTGGGGTGAATGGCCGAATGCGAGCTTTGGTTGGGCGATATTGGCCTAGAGAGACAAAATTGAAAGAAAACACACCAGGGTATCAATTCCGGCCGTTCCAAGTTCTTTCGGTGCCGAAAGAAGAGATAGCAGCGCTTTGGCCTTTTGCGAAGCCGAAATTTGAGCCTTGTCCTGCAATTACTTTGGGGCAGGAAGGAGACCCTTCGACGTCTGGTGCAAAACACAAGAAGGTTAGGCCAGGGAATGTGAGCGCTGTTTGGATATTGGCTCCCTCATATAATTATCCATCAGCAATGGCCATGGACACCGGTAGCAAGTCAGTGCCAACTCTTTGCCGTTCCAAAACCGGCTTGTGTGAGACCATCATCAACGGAGTAAAGCAAGGAAACCGGGCATCCTCACCCGGTGCCCGTGGGGCTTCGTCTTTATCCCGAGCTAAGCTTTGGGCTCTTTTTCGCGAAATTGCGCCTGTCTCAGTTCCACGCAACTATCAAAACGATGTTCTCTCATCCGGACCGCTGTCGGGTGCTTCAGAGACTGAAGTTCCGCATGTCGACACAGTTCAGCCCCAGAGACCAGATATAACCACCTACCAAGATTTCAAAAATCCTACTTGCTTGAAGGACCCGTTGCAAATCCGTATGCAGGCCATCGGCGATGCAAAAATGGTTCTCAAGGGATGGATAGCCAATGCAGGAGATGAATCGTGGGGCTTAAATGTTTTAGTTGACCCCAAAAAGCGAAAGCGTTGATTGTGTTCAGGGGATGGAAGATTCCTCGATGAAGATTCCTTCGGGCCAAGTTTAGTCCACCCATCGTGTCCCCCCTTTCTATAAACCTGTAGACTATAACTATTTTGTGTCTAGAAAAAAAAATTCATGTGTTAGTTTCAACAATGTCCTGGGGCCATCAGAAAAAGAAGGAAACTGACATTGGCTCTTCAATAGGCTCCAAACTGCCCAGATACTCAAGGCAGCCAAGTTAGTATACAGAGAGACTGTATACGATGTGGATCTAACTAAGATCGATCTCTATCAAAATCAAAGACCAGTTTCGTCTCAATCCAAACGCGACCCCTTCCCCAGCTACATGACCGAAAACATCTAGCATAAGGAGGTGGCTCTCTTTAAAGCCAGTCTATGGCAGCCATGGCGCTCTTAGGTCCCTTGACTAGAATATTACTTAGAGGCAAGAGGCTTTTCTAGTCCCTACGTACCGAAAAGAGCTGTGGCTTCAACAAATCAGGTGTACTTTGAAAAAAAAAATGAGACTGTGGTCATCAAGATCGGAAGAGCGCCAGTTCCAACTAGGCTTGTTCCTGGTCCCGATTTGCACGGCGGTCCACACGCGGTGTTGAAGATAGAACGAATCGACAGCGACGAAACCTGGATTATTGATACAACAGTCTGTCAACATGAATTCCGAGATTTGCTTGTTCCATTTGTCAAGTCCTTGATTGACAACAAATGCCCGGGAATGAATGGACCGCGGATTTACGACGCATGCGAGACAGAGGACTTGGACTACTTGTCAACGCTTCGTGTCTTCAAAACAAAAGCACAACGGCAGGACATGCGACTAGAACGATGGACCCGTCATCCTTTTGCCGTTTTCGTCTATGTGAGTGTTCATGATGCCTCGCTTGTGGGTTCTAGAGAATCCTGTCTCTAAAGAGAGGCCCTGGAAGCACAAAGTCCAGTTCCCTGCAAGCCATCAAGTATGTCAGCCCGCTACGTAAGCCGATTGGCTCTGAGCAAGACATTTACGCCGCTGTTAACTAGCAAGACTAGTTTTGGATAGACACTGAGTGCTGTAATCGATTCACGATTCACAGGACTACAACACTCGCATTTGCCAACTTCAAAAGATTCGGCCGCTCTTATTAGCGCAACCCCATCGTCATCATCATAGATGCGCAGGGAAACTTCAAGGCGGTCGGTAAGCTTAGGCTCCATGGATGCTCAAGCACCAGCTGCAATGGACCTTTTTACATGGTGAAGGACCAGTGATGCTGAGGAGGACTTGGAAAGGGTTGGAGCAACAGCCTAAATGTGTTCAACAATCACGAACTTTCACTTCTTGGTAGGTCGATCTTGCTTGGGCTTTCAACAGTACTTCGACTCTGGAATGCGGTATAAGCTCAGAGTAACTAGGAGTGTCTCTTGATAAAAATTGCAGCCCTGGAGGGTGGACTTTGTATTTGCCATCTTGTTCTGTCGAATTCTCCTGCGATAGTAAAAGGTCACGCTGGCCCACTGTGGACTCTTGCGATCCAAGGAGTGCAAGCCTATCGTAAAGATTTTCGCAAGCCAAATTTTAACAGGGTAATTAAAATACAAAATTAAGGCATAAAAGTAAACCCAAAGGTCTATGAAGGAAAGCTTGATTGTAATCTCTCAGTAGATCCCAGGGATGATGCGGCTGCGGACAATGGAGGTATAACGCTTCCAGTCAGCGCCATACTTCTTCTCGCACTTCTCCTCATCACGCATCTCACGGTGAATCAACAAGATGCCAAAGTAAATCATATAAAAGTACGTGAAGATCATACCCCAACCACGGATTTCCGGGGTCTGCACGGCTTGCTTCTGGATGTCGCCACTGGCTGGGTTGATGCTCTCAATGAGAACATACCCCGCAACACCAGTCGGCAGGCAGTAAGCCCACGACATAGTCCAGTCGCCCAGGTAGTTGATGTGACGTGCCAGACCCCACCAGCCGGAGATCATCAGTTTGGATCCAGCAGCAGTTTCGATGTACTTGATGTTTTTCACGCGGGGGTCGTTGGGATTTGTACGGAAACGGTTTTTCTGGTTGTTGGCGCCACGGAAGATCGAATATCCAACGGCAGTGACCCCCAGAACAACGGCCATGCCGGTCAAGCCAAGTTCGTAAGGGAAGACGGAGAGATACCGGCTCTGGACGCTGTACAGATGGGGCACCCAAACTACATCGCCGAAAGACAACATGAATCCGAATCCGTCCATGCAGACATCCATGGTGGTCATAATTGCTGGCTCCATGTAGAGCGCATCTAGGATGTAGAATGCCTGGAAAACAGTGACCAGCACAATGGAGTCAGTGATGTAGCCATACGTTCGGTATTGGTGGGCGACATTAGACAGGTTCAAAATTGTCCATCCAAGCAAGCCTGGTCTCATCTCCATGAACACCTTGATATCAAGAGTTCGCGATGCCTCGCTGACAAATGGAATGGGCAGGCGAACACGAGGGTTGAGTTCACGGCCGATGAAGAAGTCATAGAGCATGTTGCCCGTGTGGCCGCCAGGTGCCAACTCTCGTAGGCTTGGATTTGCCTGCCCTGGGGCTGGAACTGTGAAGCTCTTCACATAGACGAACAGCGCAGCAAAAGATGAGATCAACAAATTTGCTGTAATGACCTGGACATAGTGGTCCCATAGAAATGACCACACCACAAAGTCGGCTCCATAGAGATAAGTGCCCCCGGCGAGGCCTGAGAGAATAATGATGGCAGAGGAGAACGCTGTAAAACGAGCCGGGTCAGAAAAAAAAAAGAATCTTATTTGAATGCCATGTGCGAGCAAGGGCTGCCGTTGCCATACCATTGAATTTGTACTTCAGCCGTCCTCCGCAGGCCAACATAACACCGTCTGCCTCCTGGCCGGGAAGGAAGACCTGCAAGAATAGGCTAAAGGCATAGTAGCTCAGTATCCACAGTGTAACATTGGTATCATAAAGCGCCGTGATTCCCTCCTCGGGCCAACCCACTTCAAGCTTCAATTTCTCGAGCGACAAAGTCGAGGGATTGAGCAGCGACGGGGCGGGACAACCAGAGATATCGTTGCAGACAAAGGTGAAGAGGTAGATCAGGATCGGCAATCCAAATATAATACCAAAAGCGCCTAGTCTAGTGCAAATGTCAGCTCAGCCCAACTCAATTGAAGGGGGACAGACATACGGTCCACCAAACTCATAACCACGTTTCTCCGGCACTGGCTGCACGAATATTTTTTTGGAATCCTTCTTGGGGGTCATATTGAAATTAATGACAGGGCCAATGGATAGGCAGAGAAATAATCCAGGAACTGCCCAGGTGGAGATCTTTAAATGAGTCCCTGGGGCCTTTCAAGTCGCGTACGACGTCGGATGGTGGGTGTTCCGCCAGGTTTGCTCCGCATCGGCCCCAATCACCGCCGTGGTGATGCTACGTAAGCCTCTCTCTCTCAATCTCGGGCAGATAGATGCACTCACCTCCTTCATTCATTAGGGTCATTTCTATTATTTTGCGGAATCTATCTCTTTCTCTGCTCTCTTTACATTCCTTATCCCATTTCGTTTTTCTACTTTGAGACTGCGACTGCCTTGGGTTGACCCCATCACAGCCCACCATGAAGCTTACCAGCTCCGCTCCTTACTCCATTTTCCTTCTATCCTCAATCCTTGGATTATCTAGCGCATCATACTCCTCCCATCTAGAAGATGATGCTCCGTGCGTTGCCCGCTCCCCGACCACCGGGTTGTACTTTGACCTCAATGCGATCTCACTATCCCCGCCCGAAATAAAGGACGGCAGTAAACTCTCAAAAGATGCACGGAACAGCAGCTGGTATGCCAGGGGTCATGACTACCCGGCCAATTTCACAATAAATATCTGCGCGCCGGTGATTGAGAACGTGACGAACGTGGTCGGGATAGAATCATCGCGGTGGAAGAACGTCAGTGCATATTACGAGCGCGATGACAAGATATATTCCATAGGGTATGGCTGATCTTCATCCAAACCGGTCGCACTATTTAGATTCTTTATCTGCTCGTCATATACTGACAGTTCTCGGTCATATACAGGCAACAAGCATCCGAACCTTTCTTCCGCGGCCGCAAACTCGTCCTTAATTATACCAATGGCTCGCCTTGCCCGGACGACTATAACATGGGAAGTTCCAATGTCTCGACGCGCACTAAGTCGACTATCATGTCCTTTCTTTGTGACCGTGACGCTGCTCCAAACGTGGCCACAGCTTCCTTCGTCGGCTCCATGGATGAATGCTCGTACTTCTTCGAAGTTCGCAGCTCGGCGGCATGTGGTGGAGCCGCCGTGGATCCCAATGCTGGCGGTTTGGGACCGGGCGGCGTGTTCGGTGTGATGTGAGCACCCTTTTCTGCCCGTTGGGGGAAATACCAAATACAACCCATACTGACCTTGTACTCTAGCATGGTGGTTGCCATCGCCGTATATATGATTGGTGGCTGCGCCTACCAGCGAACCGTCATGCATCAACGTGGCTGGCGCCAGTGTCCGAATTTCAGCCTGTGGGCTGGCGTTTTCGACTTTGTCAAAGTAAGTATCCTAGCATTGATCCCATGTTGGCCTCGTCGAAAATTCAGACATGGCAAGTTCGTGTCACATAAGTTCCGGGATTCAAATGTGACAGGACTACCTGTTTCAAGGATGGATTGAACGTCCTCTAGCTGGTCTGGAGACCAATCGCTTCGGGAAAACGGTTGCGGTTGGCCTGTTCTATCCATTTCCTTGTTTCATGTCAGGCATAGAGCATTCTTTTTTTTGAATGTTCTTTCCTTTGAGTTTTACTCTCTTGGGTCTTGGCACGCCTGTGTTAATCACGTCGTGCGCATTGTAACATGTTTGACAAGATGTCTCGAGTTATGCAAGTGCACTATCCCTTGAGTCCTTGTTGATGGACTGGTCGTTTCATATCCAAGATCCATGGGTGGGAGACAGATCTTGCGTAGTTTTTTTTCCTCTTGCCTCATCAGATGGGCCACATGTTTTACTGCATGTACTTGGATTATCGATTGCAGTTGCGAGCCTCGTTGTTTGCAACATGACGCTGACCACTTCTTTCTTTGCGCACCAACAGGACATGTTCGTGATTATCTTTTCCTCGCTGGGAAACCTCTTCCGTTGCAAGGGATCCCCCGCGAGCAATGGCTACACCCGTGCGGACTCGAGTGGCCGTGGCGGTTTCATCGGTGCCATCGGAGGCCGGGGAGGGCGTGGCCAGGGGCGCGACGTGGATGCCGAGAACAGGCTCATAGATCAACTGGATGAAGAGTGGGATGATTAGTGGATGGTTGCTTTTGCTTTCTTTTCTCTGGTTTCCTTTGTCTTATAACGACTTGTGGTTCCCATACCCTTTCCCTGCACTCCTTTTCGTCTAGTGTCGGCTATGGCAACTTTTGCTTCTGGGGTTGTTCGGACAATAAATTCTGTGACTTTCGCCTTGTTTGGTTGTCGGTAGTATATATATTTCCCTTGTTGTTCACGGACATGTTTTGGTGATCGTTGATCTACCTCGGGTGGATATACATCCGCACAAGGGATCGCACACCATCTCAGTTCGTTCATGTCGAAATACAGGAAGGTAAATCCAAACATAATCATGACTAAATTGTACACCAACCTGTCACATTACATCTACCAACCTAATTTCTAAAGATCGGCTCTATACTTGATCCTATTCCACTATGGATCATGTTCAAAAGGCAGCAATGAATATAGTTTCCACTACGCATAACATGCCAAGTAACTAGCATCATTGGTCTAGTGGTAGAATTCGTCGTTGCCATCGACGAGGCCCGTGTTCGATTCACGGATGATGCAGAATTGATTATTTTTGCGACTCCTTTCGCTGAATTAATTGAGCTTTTTGATGATGAAGCAAGTGAATATCGCTTTTTTCTTGATCATCTAAAAATGTTACAAGGTTTGAATGTCCAACCAGGAAAAGTCATCGAATGGATATTCTACAGACCAGCTCCGAAAGAAAGGGATATACATGTCGGAGACAAGACAACAATATTTACACAGATCAACATAAGTGAACTGATGATTTGAATAGCAGCGCGAAAAGTAACAGATCCGAACCCCCCCCCCAATTCCGACTCCAACCTTTTGCAACGAAACTCAAACACCACGTAGCAGTCATCGAGAAAGAATCACGGCCGTGAGACTTTTATATTAGAACTAGTTGAACCAAGATCGTATGCGCTCAAAGGCATGCTCCCAGCAACCCCGAAGCTAGGCATACCCGCAGGAGGAATCCCGGATGGCGTGCCACCGCCATTGCTTCCCCCAGCTATAGGAGCCTGAGGCGGAGCTTGTGATGGTGGGTTCCCACCGCTAACAGGGTCAAGATTGAAGGGAAGAAACCACGCGCTGGGCTGATAGAACTCGCCCACCCCAGCAGGGGCACTTGGATCCAGGTGGCCTGTGAAAAATGTTTGATCTGGACTTTGTGTTTCGACGCCATTGAGCGGTGGTATAGGAGGGGGGTTGTTTGGGACGAATGAGGTGGGGTCGAAATCGGAAAATGTACCGTAAACGAATTGCCGGTCTAGTTGCGGTAATTGGTCTGGTGGAATGCTGAAGTCGAATGATGGTTGGCCGAATGAAACTGGCCGGGATTGTTGGAACGTGGATGGCTGTGGGAAGGCACCGCCAGAAATACTCGAGGTATTTCCCATGGTCACTTTGTTTATCGATTCTGGTGAAGTCTGGTCTATGCCCGAAGCTCCATCCGATAGTTTGCTGTTCTTGCGAGATCGCGATTTGCAAGGTTGTCTTGGCTGTGGAGTAGGGGAAAGGCCGGCAAAGAAATCTTCCACGCTTTGGAGGTCGGGTTTCTGACCCATGACTGCGTCTTCGCCCGTTTCTTTGTGTCGAGTATCGGGGTCCTCCCAATGCACTCTCGACACTCCATGGGGATATTTGTCGAACCAGTCACCATATTGGAACATGGGTGTTAGCGATGGGCCATTCCGAGTTGCCACAGAGCCCTTGATAGCTGCATCAGCGAATTGCCGATATCGATCCTTGGCACTCTCAACCATATAGTGAAACATGCCCCAGTACTTTTTCATTTTATTGAGATAGCGGTACGTATGCCGAAGGTTCTCTTTCGACCGTGCCTCCAGCTGGATGTTCTTCGAGAAGATCCCCCAGATGTGGACTGTACTTGCCGAGTAAGCGCAGTATCCAGCAAAAGGAACAGTGAGGGGGTAGGCTGAAGCTCGATCAAAAAGTACTGAAATGTGGTGTGCTGCTTCGACCGCGGCTCGACCTGCATTGCTGAGGAAGGACTTAGGCATATCTCTTGGTGGGCGCCCTCCCGGAGACAAAGGAATAGCGAACTGGTTGAGGAACAGCGTATTTTGATGCATGATGATGTGGAGAAAAATGAACTGATTTGCAATCTTCTCCGCTGCGTGGATTTGAAGATTTTCGTATGTAAAGGTAAAAGAGACCGGAAGAGAAGCGGAGAACTCATCAATTTGCCGCTTAAGCTGCGTGTACCCTGATTCTGGATGCCAAAGTGGATGTATGTCCTTTCTCTTTCCGCCCAAATTCAGGTAGTCGACAATGCGCCCCCAAATGACGATAGCGCGAATGATGTACGCTGAAACACCCATGTTTTCTCTAGCATTAGATAATTGGCCTGTTTCTTCAGGTACGGGATTAAGGATATCGCCGTCAAGATCCTCCGTTGGACCAGGTATCTCCATCTGGAAGTGAGGTTCCTTGATAGGAAGCTGTATCTGTAGAAACTTTTCATTCCCAATAGGTGGCCGTTGACTTCCAGAAGAGTTGTACCGATCCATCAGGTAACATGCCCACATCGTCCGGCGCCGGATCTCTTGATCAGTGAAGCTCAACTCTGAGCCCTTGCCATTCTTCTGACCGATTAATGGATCCTGATCAAGCTCTTGATGGAGCTGCAACGCGTACGCCATCCGCAGTGCTTGACCTCCAAAAGACCAGCTTCGTCCACCATGACAGGTTCCAAACTCATGAAGACCAAGAAGTAAGAAAACGGTAAGAATGGTAATGTTCGGTTCGTCGTGCCGGCTCAGGGCGATGGCCGCGGCGGGATTAGCCCAATTTTCTCCACGCAAGAATGGCGGATCCGAGTTGAGCTGAGGATGGGTGGAGAATCGCGCAGATACAGCACAGACAGCAAGGATTAGGACAGGGGGAATTGTGCCTGCTTTAAGCCGTCGCATAAAGCTGGGTTTGTGTAATAAGAGGTATGACTGCCCATAGACACAATCGAAGAACACCTCTGCGAGGTGCTCCTGAATCTCTAACGAGGGCAAAAACTCGGCTCCTTCAGTGAGAAGCCCAGTCCCATCGGTGGATTTGACTTCACGATTCACTGGGAACGTCTCATGTGGCGGGCGGCCAGTCCCATGAGCCCATTCATCCATCTCTGCCGCGAACGCCTTCTCCGCACTACGTTTCTTTTGAGCTTTTGACGGCTGCACAGAGGTGGAAGGCTTGACAACCGATCTTCCAATGGAAAGCATGTCCCTCGTCTCATCTTTAGGTATAGTCTTGATTACGCGATCTTCCATCCTCTTCAGTCGCTTGTCCAGCATAGCCATATAATCCGTGCGCGGCGCAGCCTTACGTGTAGTAACTTTATACACGCATGGAATCCTCGAGCGCGTACAGTGTTTGCAGGCGGGCTTCTCGCCCGAGCAGCGGATTTTCTTGCGGCGGCATGCAATGCACGCCAGCGGCAGGCGCTTCCGCTCCTTCCCGGCCTTGGTCTTCATCTCGCTCCAAGCCGGTTTGACATCGTCATTTAATTGTTCAAAATTGGACTGGCCGTTGCCGGAATCATCTCGTCGGTCCACCGCGGGGTCGACTGTTTGTGTGCTACCAGGGTCACGGGAACTTGCATGGCTTTGGTTATCGAAGTCTTCGAGAGCTGCTGCCGCCTCCTCCTGGCCTAGGTCGAAGCTAACACCAGGGGCTTTCGATGGCAATTTGTCGGAGTCGGGTTGGATCATGACGGGTGAGGATACCCCAAGACCCAGGCCCGAAGCATCCTTCGGCACGGTCGGGAACAAAAGAAGGTGCTTTCGATATGGATTGCGAATTTATTTCGTGGTAGGTAAAGTTGGGGTGAAATACAGAGACCGAGAAAGCGGGAGAAAGGCGGGATTAAAAAGTGAAGTTGGAGGTCCAAATATGGGGAAAGGTTCAGCGGCAGAATGGTGGCTTGGCAAATAGTTCGGCAGCGGCGCCGACAATATGGACTTTCGACGACAATCTAAATTGGAGAATGAAGAGCCAACGTAAACTACAGCTCATAGAAAATTCCTGAAGCAGAGGAGGACATCTACCTAGGCATGCAACTGACTTGAGGCTACATATCAAATCTGGAGGTTTTGCCCTCCTTGAAATCTCACACTATTCCCGTATAGTTCTAGACTGGGAATGATTTTGCAACCCACCTTCTATCGAGCCATGAATATTAAAAGCGACCCCAGGCTCATGCTACTCCCATGGACATAATTGTTGGTGTGTCCGGCTCTCTCGGAACGGACCCGAACGCCTATGACGGTAAGAACAGCCCGATTGGCATCTGGGCTAGCATATTGGAAGCTTGACAGAAGACTAGGACGAGCATGTAGCTACGTGCCAGGGAATTTCTACTGAGTGCCCAATAAAAAAAACGTACTCCTTGATCCTGTTGAGTTCATTACATATGCAAATCCTTTTTTTTTTCCCACACCGGCCGTCTCTAAATACTCTCTACTCATAGATAGGCCGAATTGACCGGGTTTTTTCTTAAGCAAACTCACCATCTTCATTGTACATGTCGCATTTCAGGACGCAAGCCATTCAACAGTTTTCATGTCTGAGTCTACGTGACTTTCGGGCGTCCGACCTTCTGGCGTGGTGTTGCGAGTTCAAGTGAGTTCAAAATCTCGCCACCGAGGATATAGATATTGTAGCTGGGAAACACGAGCCACATTCCACTGCATCAAATCAGTTCTACGTTTTGTGTAAACCTGCACTAGACGGAACTCACTTAGGGAGGATCCAGTAGAGGAAGAGAGTGAGCGGTTCGTTGTGACCGATATTCTCGAAGCCGGAGAAGGTCTCGTTGAGCCCTATCATTTTGTGTTATTATCTAATACACAAAGCCTAGGCAATGGATGTCGCTTACAGTAAAGGATCGTCTTGCTCAGGGTCATGACAGACGCGGTGTAGGCGACCAGAAGCGCGGTCGCACCAATGCGCCCAGCGACCACCTTCTCCCCCTTCAGCAACCAGGTGAATCCCTTGGAGATCTTCTGCGGTCCACCTCTCCCAACTGTCGATCCATAGTAGTAGACAATCCAGAGGTAGTAGATGTAACCGATAGTCTCCAGGACGTTGAGGATAGTCTGCGCAGCAGTGAAGCCATTATGCGCATTGAAGGCGGGCCAGCCGTAGATATAGTCAACCTTTCCGTACAGCGCGTAAGGTGTCCAGATAGGAGAGTGCAAGCTTCCACCGGGCATGCTATGCGGTCGCAGCAAGACATAGCCTGTATCCCAGATGACCAACGGAACTGAAACGATGAGCCAAAATGTCAGCGCAACGGCGGGTGTATGGGTCCATTTGCACGTATTGGCGCTGGTGGTAGCTGGAGGTAACTTGGCCAGCTCTTTCCCGGCCTCAGGGGAAGGAAATTCGCGGGGATGGTGTCGTGTGGAGACCATAATGAAATGGTTTGCGATACAGTAGAGATTTAATGCAATTTTAATAGTATTTGCCGCAAGAGGGAAAAAAATCTAGATAGAAATCATGAGTTAGACACAGAGAAAGAGTGTCGGTGGTTTCATGGTGCGTTGAGCTCAGACGCGACTGACGGCCAATGACGTCGGGGGTAATCGCTATTTGCCTCTCGCTCTCGCTTTCGTATGGAGCTGAGTTGGGAAATTGACTGATTTTGTTAATTCTGTGAATCCCCTCGCAATGGGGTCTTATGGGTGTGGCTGACACGGTGAGGTCTCTACATCGCTATACTATCTTCCAACTCATTACTACCGCTACTGCCTCTAATCGGAACATTGTTCCTGATACAAGGTAAATTTAATTAGTACCTACCACTAGTAGTACTCAGGCAAGGATAATTATCCAAATAGCCAGGTTCTTTGAGATACACACAGAGTAACGACCTAGTTGACTATGTTGAAGTTGGAAAGTTAAGAGTGTGCCTCATACGTGTACACTCCGTATGTGTACGTGGTGTGCCTGAGGCAGGCAAAATGGATGCATCACTATTGTGTGACTACAACATTTTTAACACCAAACACTGGTTTCATAAGCTGAAACTAGGGGCGTATATGTGAGCATGGACCAAGGGATAAACGTGAAAGGCCAGGGGGACCCCCTTCGTCTGTGATCTGCACTTTTGTCCCCTTCTGCTTGTGCGGAGTGCGGTATCCATCTCCCGGATCACAACCTCAAAAGTCTCTGTTCTTCTTCAATTTTGTCCCGCCATGCCTTGCAAGTTCATCCAGATTAAGGAACCCCTGATTTGATATGAAGGTGAAGTATATATGCTAGGAATGGGCGGTTAATAGAGCCCTTAGTCTGGCATTCATTCGTATGCTGGTGAGGGGTCTAATACCCTTGAAGTCCTATTCGGAAGGGAGCGAAGATTAAGAGGAACCCCGGGCTCGGTCAAGGCCGTGGAATGGATGGTACAAGAAAGGAGGCTGCAGAATATGCTGTTCCTTGGCCAATCCCTGGAGCGGGTTTGGCAGCAAGTGATGGGTAGCTGCAAAAATCCTGGCTAGATCCATGCGTGAATCCCTAAAATAAAGAAGACATCTATAAAATATCGGTGGATTGAGCACCATAGCTTACCGCATCCAAGAATACTACCTACACGCTGGATAAAGTATCTTTTAACATACCATTAAAAACCGTTGGAAGGTTTAGTTAACATGCACTTCATGAACGCAATTGCCTCATGAAATCAAATAATGCGACCTTCGGCTTTGAAGCAAATTCCACGTGACCGTGAAATAGAAGCCTTAAAATTTAGGCAACAAGGCGTTGCATCATTTCTCCGAATTTGAAATTCAAAGGAGGCAATATTGAACCTTCTGCCACCACATCTGTCATACCACTTTCAGTGAGTTCTTTGTATGATAATTTTGATTGATAAGTTTTAAGTAATGCCATACACTCCTGGGTCAGCAACCGATGGACTCAGCGAAAGACCAGAAGGTGAGTTACACTCGTTGAAGTAGTTGCGGCCAATACTCGAATCCTAACTAGCATAGAAGCATGTGGAGCGACTCGCACGGGTACGTGAGAATCAACGGAAGAGTCGAGCTCGGAAGCAGGAGTTTGTGAATGAGTTAGAGCAACGCCTAGCGTTGTGTAAAAAACAAGCCCAGCAAAAAGACATTGAGTACCGACTGGCAACGCAAAAAGTCGAAGCTGAAAATCGGCATCTGAAAGCTCTTCTGGGATCACTGGGAGTTCCGAGTGCTTCTGTACAGCAGTATCTACACGAAGCGGATACGTGGGCGAACACCAACCGGAAGGTTGCTATCCCTGCTATTCAGCAAGTGAAGAGAGATAATCATCTGCCTCTATTACGTCGAGATAGTCACCGAACAAATTTGTCAATGGCAGTACCTCGCGTCTACAGAGCGGAACCAGAGATTACTGAACTGCCAACAGCGGTTGATAGTGCATGTGCCTCGACAGTGGTGCAACCGACAGACCAACCACCACATCAAACCCCGCAAGAAGAAGATCCGGCTTTGTGTGGATGCCGGTCCGATAGACAGAATCCGGAAACGGTTTCCGATGAAGATGTGCTCAACTCGACGCTGTGTGCCATTGCGGAAGAAATGATCAATCAATACAACACCAAAGGAATTGATGTTGATGAGATTCGGCGAAGAATTTGGTCTGGGTTCCGAGCAGGTGCAAATGGTACAGGCTGCAGAGTTCAAAATCACATTCTGTTCCAAGTTCTAGACGACATCAGCAGTGATGTTTGACTTTGGCATTGGTTGGGCTTCCACGATCATCTGAGATGTTAGTATTTTTGTGAACCTGCTAGTTCTGGTAGCCTCTGAATCTGGACAAGAGGATGGGAATGGGGACTTTGGTTGCTGCCAGGAATCGTTTTCAAATCTGTCATGTCATTTGCAGCAGTGAGTGCCGGGTTAAAAAAGGTCGGATCAGATTCCGCCAACGACTGCTGGAACAATTTTTGGTTCCGCAGCACAGCTCCTCGTCCCCACATCCAGAATGTGACAATATTCTGCCTGAAAATTTCACCAGAGCCGTGGGACCACTCTACACCCACAAGCCCGTGCAGGATTAATTTCTGGCTAGACCCACGCCAAAATGGTGGAATGGCAACAATAACTCGGTTTTACACGTCCAAATTCGAGATTAAGTACAAGACCGACGTTTTGCGAGCTGAACTAATAGTTATAGCTACGCCAATGATGCAAATATGTCTACATTTCTTGATGTGGCATCTCAGAAAAATAGCCGCATTATTATTGGAGAACTACGTTGAACGAAAAAACAGCGTACTTTTCCACTATTCCATAACAAAAACCAAGGTTCCTGTTTATGGCCTAGGGGGGCCATATTTGAGGTTTGACAAACTATCAAAAAGGACTAGGCCATACATGGCTACTATCCCGCAAATTGAAAGTACACCCGAAGAGCCCTCAAGAATCCTGAATCCTCAACCGGCAGAAGCCCTGAAACCCAACAATATTGGGCCACAGAACCGACGATTATCCACAAAAAGGGAAATTATGAGTGCTTGGCGGGACGATTCGTCAGCGACCAGCGTGTTCTTCATGCAAAGTTCTGGAATAGTCTGACTTTCTCTTCCGGCGGGTGGATTTCAAGGTTAAACAATCTAACTAGAGAAGAATTTAGCCGGAGGAAGTTGAGACATGCAAAATATAAAAATGGCTGAGAAGACGTGAAAGTGTGTGTAGTTAGACTGGCAGTCTGGCCTGTGTCAAGAGACCGGGGATGCGGGAATTTGGTCCGATGCCCCCCCCCCGAAGTGCGGGGCTCCCCGCACTTCAAGGCTCCACGGTAGCAAAAAACGCTTAGCTGATAGCGTAGTCCATGGTTGCAAGGTGGATAAAGATATCTATGCAGGAAACGGAAAAAGAATTGATAAAGCAACTGTTTTTTCGAGGCTAGCTGAAGATTCACGGAACACTCGTTGTTAGGATTGCTAGAAACAGTCTCGGATGGCCAAGGTCTACTTCCCCAAACTCTCGGAGTGATATGATGAGAAGGGTTTCCCTATTCGTCAGGATGAGCGGTGATCTATTGGACGCGAGAAAGTAGTCAGACCGGACTAGAATTTTGGAAGTCACATCTCTGCATTTATTTGATCAGGTGAGAGCATTTGCCACAGAATGGATCCCAATACGTGTGTAGTTGTCCTCTGTACACCACAACACACGCAAGAAGCGCAAGAAGATAATTTCCGGGTAAAATCACCAAAGATCGTCGGGTTCAAAGCCTTACGGATAATAAGAATTGACGGGGAAAAGGCACGAGCGCGCTGGTGTGTTAGACAGGGCGTGAATGCCGAAATTTAGCCGTTCTCGTATGTAGAATCGAAGTAAGGCGATGGATCCGAGGAGAGTTAATACTCCTGGAGTGCTACTTATGTGGTGTTAGAGGGAGTGCCTGTGTATTGGTGCTCAGGTGTGATTCTGATATCATTGGGAAAGGGGGGTTTGACTTCTCACCCTGTATTTCTCCTTGTCCCCTCTACCAGCCACAAATGTGCCTTCTGTCCATTTTCAAGGATGAGCATGTCTCCAAATTCAGTGAACACAAGCTCCAGTAAGAGTAAACCATGGCCAATCATGGGACACGAAATAGTGGCATTATTAGGATAGTACATACCTTGTCGATCCTTCTCGTTTTTTTTTCATAACAATTCTCAATTCCATTGTATGGAGTAAATTTCATATGATATGCACAATTACATCCCTGTGAGCAATCAGGAAACCTCCGTACACTTAAAGCCCTAGTCTTCCCCTCCATGATCTGAGACTCGTTCCTTCCTCATTCTATCTTCTTTCAACAGCTCTATTTGTGCTGTCCCTCTGAAACGCTCTCTACCACTCTCACAGCAATGAAGTTTGCGTGGCTTGAGGTAGCCGCATTCACGGCCTCAGTGGCTGATGCAAAGGTCAGTCCATCTCAAATCATCTAATCATACCACTGTTAATCAAATCGCGTCAGAACAGTCGCTGGCCTATTCTCCTCCATACTATCCTTCCCCATGGATGACTGGCGCGGGCGAATGGTCCGAAGCATACACACGCGCCGTTGAGTTCGTCTCTAATTTGACACTGGCTGAGAAAGTCAACTTGACGACAGGTGCTGGCTGGGAGCAAGAACGATGTGTTGGTGAGACCGGTGGCATTCCCCGACTTGGCATGTGGGGAATGTGTATGCAGGACTCGCCATTGGGTGTGCGCTCTAGTAAGATTGCCCGTCAGGAATGAGCTTGGCGCAGTCAACTGATGAAATTCGAATAGGTGACTACAACTCTGGTTTCCCCTCTGGTGTCAATGTTGCCGCAACATGGAACAAGCGACTTGCCTACCAACGTGGTATGGCAATGGGCGAGGAGCACCGGGACAAAGGTGTGGATGTGCAGTTGGGTCCTGTTGCTGGTCCTTTGGGAAAGTACCCCGATGGCGGCCGTAACTGGGAAGGGTTTTCGCCTGACCCTGTTTTGACTGGTGTGATGATGGCCGAAACCATCAAGGGTGTGCAGGATGCTGGTGTCATTGCTTGTGCTAAGCATTTCATTGGAAATGAACAAGAGCACTTCCGTCAGTCTAGCGAGGCTCAGGGATATGGATACAATATCTCCCAGAGTGTGAGCTCAAATATTGATGACAAGACCATGCACGAATTGTACCTTTGGCCCTTCGTGGACTCGATCCGTGCTGGTGTTGGCTCTGTTATGTGCTCTTACAATCAGATCAACAACAGCTACGGTTGTGCAAACAGTTACTCCCTCAACAAGCTGCTCAAGGGCGAGCTAGGTTTCCAGGGCTTTGTTATGAGCGACTGGGGTGCGCACCACAGCGGTGTCGAATCTGCTCTGGCCGGTCTGGACATGTCTATGCCAGGTGACGTCATTCTTGGCAGCCCTTATTCCTACTGGGGAACCAACCTGACTATCTCTGTTCTGAACGGGACCGTCCCCGAATGGCGTATTGATGACATGGCTGTCCGAATCATGTCAGCTTACTACAAGGTAGGACGTGACCGTTTCCGCACTCCTCCTAACTTTAGCTCCTGGACCCGTGATGAGTACAACTTCAAGCACTACATTGTCAACGAGGCCTGGGGTAAGGTCAACGAGCGCGTGAATGTGCAGCGTGACCACGCCCAGATTATTCGCAAGACTGGCTCTGATAGCACTGTTCTCCTCAAGAATAAGGGTGGTGCACTGCCCCTTACCTATGGCGAGAAACTCATCGGAATTCTGGGAGAGGACGCAGGGTCTAATGCTTATGGCGCCAATGGCTGCAACGACCGTGGCTGTGACAATGGAACTCTGGCCATGGGCTGGGGTAGTGGAACTGCGAACTTCCCTTATCTGGTTACACCCGAGCAAGCCATTCAGAATGAAGTCCTGGATTACGGCAATGGACAGACCAATGTTTTTACTGTGACTGACAACTGGGCACTGACGGAGATGGCCGCCCTAGCCTCCCAAGCTGATGTTGCTCTGGTTTTCGTAAACGCTGACTCTGGCGAGGGATTCATCAATGTTGACGGTAACGAGGGTGACCGCAAGAACCTGACTCTGTGGAAGAACGGCGAAGAGGTGATCAAGACTGCTGGTCAATACTGCAACAATACTATCGTCGTGATCCACAGCACATCCGCTGTCCTGATTAGCGATTGGTATGACAATGACAACATTACCGCTATTGTCTGGGCTGGTTTGCCAGGCCAGGAGAGCGGTCGCAGCTTGGTGGATGTACTGTATGGTCGCGTCAACCCCGGTGGTAAAACTCCATTCACTTGGGGTAAGACTCGCAAGGACTATGGCCCTTCTATCCTCACAGTGCCCAACAACGGTGCAGATGCTCCTCAGGATGATTTCGAGGATGGCATCTTCATTGACTATCGCCGTTTCGACAAGGACAACATTGAGCCCATTTACGAGTTTGGCTACGGTCTGAGCTACACCAAATTTGCTTTTTCCGACCTCAAGGTCACCCCTCTTACCTCATTCAAACACCACGAATACAAGGCGACTACTGGAAAGACCCAAAAGGCCCCCGTTTTCGGCGAAGTTGGCGAAGCCTCGGATAACCTTTTCCCCAAGGGCATTCAACGCGTCCGCCAGTACCTTTACCCGTGGTTGAACTCCACCGACCTGCGTGCCTCGTCCGGTGATCCTGACTACGGCATGGAATCTAAGGACTACCTTCCTGAGGGTGCTACCGATGGTTCCCCCCAGGAACTTCTCCCCTCCAGCGGTAACTCCGGTGGCAACCCCGCTCTGTTTGAAGACCTCTACCAGGTGACCGCTACTATTACTAACACCGGATCCGTGACTGGTGATGAGGTTCCCCAGTTATACGTCTCTCTCGGCGGCGGCGATGACCCCTCAAAGGTTTTGCGCCAGTTTGACCGAGTCACCATTGCCCCTGGCCAGACCATTCAGTGGACCACTACTCTGACCCGCCGTGATGTCTCTAACTGGGACGTTGCCTCCCAGAACTGGGTGATTTCAGACGCCCCAAAAACGGTTTATGTCGGCAACTCATCCCGCAAGTTGCCTCTCTCGGCCGCATTGCCCGTGGTCGAGTAAATTTTCTTTCATTTTTCTGTGCTGGAAGCAGGATAGTACACATTCCCACATGAGCCATTTTCTCGGCAGCCAGTATTGCACATAGTTTTTTTTTCTACCCAAGAGATGCCTCCTGTGACGACTTTGATAGTTGACAAAACCCCATTAGTAGTTTCAATTGGACTATTTTACGGCATCATAGAATTGTACTTCCGATGCTGTGATCCCTCACACCTATTTCTAACTCCAGTTAATACATCGACCAAATCCATAACATGCACGCCATCCATGTCCACCCAGCACCACCCTCCAAAACAGCCTATTCCCCAGCCAACCCCGCCCCAACAACAGCCCTCCACAATGACAAAATCCCCATCCCAACTCCAACAGCCCCAAACCAGCTCCTAATCCACATCAATGCAACAACCGTAGTCCGCGACATGCTCACATGGCCCGAGACATACTACCAACCCTACACAATCCCAGGCCATGACTTTTCAGGCACAGTAGCATCAGTTTCCCGAGGTTCGACAACAACCCTCAAACCCGGCACCGCCGTCTTCGATATGACGTCCGCAGACCACGGCTCAACCTGGGCATCATACGCACTCGTCGCAACTGACGAGGTCGCACCCAAACCAGCCACTCTCGGATGGGAAGAGGCCGCGGCATTACCGCTTAGCGCGCAGACGGCGTACGAGGCGGAGGCACTCTTTGTGCATGCGGGTCTTCCGCTTCCTCTTTCAGTCGGGTGTGCGCCCTCAGAACCACAGCGTTACCGGGAGAAGGATCCCCAGCATGCTCGTCATTTGGAAAAGTGGGTGCTTGTTACTGGTGCTGTTGGGGGTTTCCTTGTGCAGCTTGCTGCACGTGCTGGGATGCATGTTGTTGCGGCTAGTGGGCCTGTTGCGAGGAATGGGGCGTTTTCGATGGAGTTGGGGGCTGAGGGGGTTGTTAAGTATGTGGACTTAGAGGGTGGTCAGGAGCGTCGGTTTGATGTTGTTGTTGACTCGGTTGATGAGAAGGTCCTGGAGTGGTGTTGGGGGTCTGTGAAGGAGGGAGGTGTGTTGATATCTGTGGATTCGGCGAGCTTTGATTTTTGTCGAGGTTCACGCGAAGCGTGGGTTGAGGAGGGATGGGGTTAAGGCATTGTTTTATTATTATTGAGGGAAGTGGGCAGGTTTTGTGTGCTCTGGGTGAGTTGGTGGCGAGGGGAGAGCTGCGGTCGTTTGTTGCTGCTAGTTTTGGAATTGACTGAAAGAGGCTTCTGATTATGCTAATGGGAGGTTTGATGGTCGAGGGAAGGTTGTACTTACGGTTGAGATTCACTAAATCCAGTCAGAATCACATCTAGACAGAGGGTAAATGGTTCAACCATCTGCGCAGTATAATCTTTCCCTGGCATCATACCGCATCCGACCCGTAGCCCTGTTTGTAGCTGACCGACTCATTCCCTAAAGGAAACACAGCAATTATTGGCCCAGTCGTCTCGGTAGAGCTACTTAGCTTGCTCATATTATCGCACAATTGCAGAGGATGGTAGTCTTTGGCGCTCTGTTTCCATGTGAAGTAGTGCAGGACATGAAGGAAATTAACATCCATCACATCAAAGCCCCCCCAAAAGGACGGTAAAGCTCATAGCTCTTGAACTCGCATTCGGAAGTTATCGTTTGTGACGAGCTCCAATCGACAAAGACTGTGGCTGGTGGAGATCAAGCCGATACTACTATGCCTGTAGGCAGACCATACAAAAGGTACGTGTGCAAATGTTTCTTTTTCTTAAATATGTTATTATAGGGCCCTTTTCTTGACGGATGCTGATTTCCAATTCCATAATAGTGCTTTTTTTTTTTTAAAAAAAAAATTCCAAGGCAAGCTTCGGGGGCAGCTTTAAAAGTGATCTTATATCAAGCACATAGGAGGTTGAAATTTTGAATCGTAAGATAGCCTAAAACCTAGTCAATAATTCGAAATATCGGATTTTGATAGACAGGAAATCCTTTACGAAGATTAATTTTAGGCATGATGAACGTAGTGATTGATAGTTAAAGAGAAAGTTGTGATCAGGGAAAAATAGTACCATAGATGTGATCCATTCCACGTAGGTGACGGGGAGGGTCTGATGTAACGGCCGTTTTATTGCAAAACATGTGTTGGTAGTAATTTACCAGGCAGAGGGTCCTTCATCCGTTTTTAAGGCTCTCTCTTCCACTGTAGCCGCATGATAGGCATTCCTCTTAGTTACACGATCGCTCTCATCATCAGAGCCATCGCATGGAGCAGGGAGCTCTCTAATCTGACAGTGACTAATACGATGAACGGTAGGAGTCGGCAGAGACGTTCGTGATAATATCTTTCTGTGAAGAGCAAAGGCCTGGTTGATTATGTTCTGGACCTGGCCAATAATCGAGTGTCGCTCGTTGTCCCAGGAGAATACCTTGATTGTATACTGAAAAAACGGTGTAAGTCACGATATTGCTCAGGATTCCGCTTTCAAAGTCACTTACCCGACCCCAATTGGTCAGATGTATGAACACCCATTTTGAACCGTCGGTTATAACGCCGTAGAGAACTGCGTCCCGTCCGGCAAGCTTACGAGCATGGTGGATAATCGACATATTTCTAAGCAGAATCCAGCTTTGAGGCACCGGACTTTTAGACTTCATAGCGATCATGTTTGTTTCCAGTTCCCAGCAGTGACCATACCACAAGACGTAGTCAATGAGATTCTCTGGAGCTAGAAACTTGTTGTCTTCCATTTCTCGCGTGAATATCCGCTTCCGAAAGCTCCAGTGGGGTAAATCCAGGGGTCTGTGAGGATCAAGTAGCTCTTTCTTGATCGTTTCTGCAAGTAGCGAGAGGAGAAGTGATTCTATTCTCACTGGGAACAAAGGATGTGTACTACCCTTTGGAGTAGTGATTAGCTCAAGATCGTCCCACAAGCACGCTAATCGGTCATCAGCAACCAATAAACAGATTAGGTGATGAGCGGAAACTCACCGAGGCGATCTGGAATTTTCCAAGTGCTTCTTGCGCTGAGTTGTCTCTTATTCCACCACCGAGTGGGCGAAAGGCCAAAAGCCTCCACTACACGTCGGTGTTCCTCGGTTGCTTTGATCAGAGCACAGTCTTCTTCAATCATGGTAAATAAATTGAGTAGGGATTTGGAAACAGAAAAGTTGAACAAAGTTGAGTCATTTAGTAGAGATCTAAGTCTACTGAATCGCAGAGAAACTGTGTAAAATGCGCAAGAGAAGAGTGTACCCCGGGAGCAAATGTGCTTTTCCCTTTTCTAGAAACGGCTTTTATATCCTTGGAATCTGTGGTCGGAAGCCATGGTTACAGGTGTTTCTAGCTAGGAAAGGTGTCTAGAGACAGAACATGATTTAGAAATTTAGAAAGACTTGAATGAATCCAAAAACTTACTAGAAATTAATCCAAGGACACTACTAATGTACTAAGCCTTTGAAAGAAGCCCTGTGGTCCATTAAGACCTTCCATCTTTCCTACTCCATTTACTTCTAAGCTGATTTCTTTTGATAGCCATTACACTCGCCTTTTAGAGCCATGGAGAATATTGTTAAGCCTCGAAAGTTCAAGTACAGAGCTCTCGAAAACCGACGTGCCAAGCGTAGGAAATTGAAAAAGATGCCTGTACTGTCTATAACCGACCTGGACCCGAGTGAGATTCCGCATCACTTCAACCTCACTCACTGTCTGCCTACCGAGTTTGAACTTTCTCCTAGCAAGACTGAGATGATTTCTCTCCCTCCGTATCTAAGTAAGTTCGATTCCTGATGTGGGTATGTGTTTACACTAACCTGTATAGACTCCATCCTCGTAGACTATGACACAGCGACCGGTGGCTCACCTACAAACGAGGCCTTCATACGATCTCGTATTAATGTGATGATCCTGACAACTCTGGCTAAGATGAAAAGCGAGTTTATTGCAAAGCCCAGTACATCCGTTGCTTGCTCTGCATCACTCAAGTCGGTTCACTTGCAATTCGACCGCAAGATGGAATTCACTTGGAAACGCGATTCTCAACGGGTAAGATTCTTCGGCATCGTTGACTACTCTCTTTGGTATGGCACGCCCGATGAACATGCGACCAATCTGGCAATAGTTGAAGCAGAAAGACCAGATTTGCTCAAAAGCGGTATGTTGCGGTGTCTTGCATACATGGGTACGTGATTTTGACTTGAATTCATTATTGAAATCCACCATAGGTGGGTTAGTGCCAACTTGAATAGCCATGATTCATGAGACAAGGAAGCGGGCTAAGATTCCAGACACGTCAGTGTATGGAATCGCAACGGACAGTTTCAAGTGGGCGTTCATCCGGATTCGTCCAAATGGCGAGGTAAGAGATCTTGGTGAAACGTGCTTGGATAACTCTGATGCATTATTTAGTGGACTGAAAAGACCTACCACTGGGCGCACAGTGCGCAAGAAATTGTCTCGATGCTGGCAAAGATTCTTGCTCATGCTGCGCGATTCGATCCACAGACCGGCCGCAAAATATGGAACCAAGGGTCTGAATGCGAGTTCTTAGCTTCTCTGAAGCAGCTGAATTCAAAGCCAAGTTCCAAAAGAGAAGATCAGAGGACTGGACTATGCCATGCACACACCATCTAGGCTGTGACCTAGCCATGGGAACCCTGTGACCAGCTGAAGGAACGTGGTTAAATTGTGATTCCACGTTCTTAGAGAGGTAGCTTGATGAGACATGTTTACTATTTTACCAGGTTACCCTGTATGACCTGTAACAGATCATCAGACATAGTAGAGTAGATTGACTTACCTCTCTGGTTCTCATGTAAAGAACATAGGCGGGGGCTAGTTCTGGATTAACGGGTCCATCCATATCACATTTTACTACTCTATATTTGAAACGTCGCCTTTTTAACCGCAAATTTTTTTGTTTTCTGGCTAAAAAAATAACGATGGGAGATGTCTAACAAGAACGACCCTGTGAAGGAGTATCCGAAAAGTCGACTATAAAGACATCCAAAAGTATCAGAAAACCACATACCAAAGACCATTCATTCCCTGTGCCTAACAAGAGTTTACCTCAATGAGAGCTTTCCAAATTTTGCATGCGTAGAAATAAAAATGAGTATTTACAGGATGCGAAGTGACTCATCAATCCATATGTACAACGTCTCTAGTCCTTCGCCGAAATCCAGATCTTTTCTCCATGAATATCAAGAACTCACATCACTCGCAACGATCAAACAATGATAGACAGAAATTGAATGGCGCGTTTTTTTGTGAGAGATCTGCCGCCACAAATGGTCTTTTAGTTTACAATACCTCTTTCAAATCCATCACACTTGCGGAGACCCGATTATTGGTGCCAGATAGCACTCCCGCGGAATGCACGACCAAGTATCGACCCCCATCCTCCGACAGTACCCGTAGAGACCGCGTGTAGCCGTGTTCTTCGGGCGAGGCGATTTCTGTCCACTCCCCTTCACCAAGAGCTTTATTAATAAACAAAGTACTCTGTGTACCGGAGCTGGCAATAATGGTGCCATTTTTACCACCGTATGGTGTCCACACAGCGTAAGGCGAAGATGTCGGTCGAGTACCACTCGAAACAACCAGACGCTGGCCCGGGGCGGAGGCGATATTTTCGGGGTCGGACGACAAACGGTAGTAAACGGGGAAAGAATAGCTTGCAGTACCAAAGAAAGAACCATATTCATAGATGTAGAAGTATTGACCGTTCGGGAGCTAGAACTGTTAGCATTCTCCGGGCATGGCGCAGATCAATCGCAATTGAACCGGTGTCGCATACCTTGGTCACAACTGGCATGCCGGGTCGGTCGGTATATGTCGGATAGGCGACATCCTCTACAACAGGTCCCCAGGTCTTTAGATCAGTTGAGACCTGGTGAACTATAGTCTGTCCGTGGGTTGCATTATCTCGCTGATCCGAGTAATAACAAATCAACTTGCCATTACTGTAAATAGAGTTAGTGAGTTCTTTCATAGTAGATTAGAAGAACATACTGGGCGAGTAAGAATGGCTCCCATACAGGAGTCAGTCCATTGTTCGGCAATGCCTCTCCTCCAGCAGCAATATGGCTGACAAATATCCAATTCACACCATCGTCCTGCGACGCATACAGATCGATGTGCGTGGACGACAAATCAGTAGGAATACTACTACCAGCTAGAAGTAGAGTACCCTTTTCAAACGAGCCGACGCGCTCAGGCAGGGAGTAGAGGAACGGCTGATAACGCAAGCCATATCCGTTGACAGTGTCATGGACCTTGGAGATCTCCTCCCAGGTCTTTCCGTAGTCATTGGAGCGGTATATGGGGAAGTATACTGCGGGAGGCTCTGGTGAGTAGTTTTCCCATGTGGCAAGAAGGTCGCCGTTGGGAAGCTGCTCGTTCCGTGGGTAAAGCGTTCGTGGCACGATGTAGTCGGAGGGTGGCGAGAAGATGGTCACATTTGTGAGGGAGGCAGGAGATGACTGCCTAGAGCTTGGAATGGTCACCGCAGCTGCGGCTGCCACAAAAGCAAAAACCTGTGGAATTCTCATGTTAAATATGCTGGAGCTAACTGGTATTCTATCTTCATTGGGAGCATTATTCTGCTTTTATAGCTCGATTCAGTCAAAATTAGAGTTGATTTATAAAAAGCGTACATAGTACTCCGGGGTTATCCCGCCGGAATTAATCTTGTTATGGACTAAATCGAGGGTATTTCATCTGAAGAATTTCCATCAATGACGGCCATCGTAGATAATCCGGGGAAATGTCAAATGACGTCAACTCCCGACCTATCACATGACACCAGGTGACTACAGTGGAAGATCCATGGGTCCGTGCTCCATGCTCCGTAATCAATCTGAGCTCCTTCACATGAGCAGGGCTGAGCGTGGATTCCTAGGGCTATAATGGTCGGATAACATTGCATCGTCCAGAATCTAGTTTGATATTTGAACTGAAGCCCACGTCTATTGGGCAGTACAAGCCTCCTCCCCCAGGCAGTTTGGCCCCCACAATCCACAGCCAAATTTAGCAGTGCCCAAAGGTGGACCAATGATGAACGTGAATTTAGATACACTGCAGTGCTAACTTCGTTGCCTAACAACACACAGCCTTCCAGCATCGCCAGTATTTGTTGGTAACCAGCATGATTGAAAGCAGTTAATTGGAAGAAAAATCTCTTTCAATTTTCGTGGATTCGGATTTGTCTCGGGCTGGGCCAATTTGTGAAACTTATTTACATTGGATTTCATCCACTTTTCTCGGATTCAAACTGCCTTTCAGATTTTTTCTTTCTCCGAGACATCCAAGACAACAACATCCTTTTCCAAGCTCTAAAATTGTATTTATCCAAGAATGGTACCCACCGATTTCGTGCATTGGCCCAATGGCCAGTTGACAGGGAAACTGCAGCGATCGACAAGGGGCCTCATTGGTCATTCAGCAGACATGTGGCATAATTCAAAACATCGCTACCAACAATCGACAATGGAAATATGGCACAAATCAGCAGACACCTTAAACGATTCGAAGGATCGATGTCATCAGTCGGCTAAATTGATGCTACGTCGATCGGTGTCAAAATGGAATCAATCAGTAGATCAGTTGCACCGAGTCGCTCGCATTGAAGAAACAACACAACACGTTCCAACAAGCTATGGGCGAACGCAAGAGCAAACGAACCCAAAAGTCCGATTTTACTCACGGGCACTCAACTTGCAATCAACAAACTCGTCCCCAAACCCCCAAACCACATCATTCTTCACAAAAGTGAAATCAATCAAATCGGCTTCGGTCACCACACCTTCAATGAACCCGGAGGAGCAGATCAAAGAGTTCGAGGAAGCAATCATATCTTTCAATTCCAGGGTGAAGCAGACAAGACAGTTGCGGGATGACAAAAGGACAGTCCTGGGGGATATCGAGCTTGAGTGGGTCAACTCAACCATAACCGATGCCGAAAATGCCGCCACTGATTTAGTTGCATTGGTGAAGCAGTTTAAGCAAATCAGCCCCCAAGACCGCAGCAGTTGGAAGCGTCGTAACTATGAAGTTGCCCTGAGAACGGAATCTCGCATGCTTCATTCGCATGACAAAGTCGAGACGGTTTTTAACCACCTTGGCTCACTACCAAGCACCTTGGGCAGGGACACAGCATTTTTCTCTCCGTCTGAGGTTTCAAAAGATGCTTTGGAAATCCCATATGAGACGAGTGTTACATCTGTCTTTGAACTTCCATGCTCATCACCGGTAAAGGTAGAGCGACCTATTCCGAAAATCATCGTGACACAACATTATGGTGAGTATGATGACAACAAAGCATGCTCTCACTCCGATAAGACACCTTCCCCAAGATACGGAGCAAGTGGGATGAATAGCACAGCATAGTTATGGCGATTGCATCACTAAATGGCCCCCGAAGGTTGGATAAGGAGCGAGACGTTGTTATGGAACTCTTGACGATGCCACACGAGTAATGAAATGCTAGTTCTACATGCCACGTCAAGTTCTGAATCTGCAAAGTTCTTGGGTTAGGTCAATCCTGTCCTTCTGCCTGGGCAGTGAAATCTAAAGACGCGACTGGCTATCAAGTTCATTTATCTCCTCAGTCACAGTATTAACTGCTTCAACCGCCATTCTGTATCCAGCCTGTTAGCCAGTTCCACCGGTGCCATGGTTGTGGACAACAAGAACACGTTATCCCGTAGCGCCGAAATGATGGTTGTGGGCAGGCCGTAGCCCTCTTCGGCGAGAATGAGAGTTACATTCAGCCAAATCACGCCAACCCTTGGAAAAATCCGCAGCAGCAATACGTAATACTAAACAGTCGACTTCGATTGTCCCAATGTTCACTACAGATTTGCTTTTCTTCTTTTTTAGTGGTTGAATTGACCCTGGGTGAAATGCATCTTCTCTATTTGCCCCTGGTCGGCTATCTTTGAAAGCTTTGAATACTGGTCCATCTTTTTTGGGCTGATGTTGGGTTCAACCGCGGCAAAGTCCGTCTCTCGCTCGTGGGCTGGTTAGCGGGCTTCGATTGACAGCATGGCCGGCGGGGATGGACGGGGACAAGCGGAATTGCTTTTCGTTCCTGTGGACAACTTCTCTGGTTTTCACAAAGTATGGTCGCTTAGAGTATACAACTACTTTTCAACGCTTTGTAAGAGTCCGCTATATAGTACATATGTACAATTTAGCTCGAGTGCAACTCTCCATCCCCCATACCCTTGAAACGTGTCGAACCATTTATGTTACCAGTGCCCGAGGCATCCAGTGGTGATACGACCCACTATACATAGCCCGATTCACAACTACAGCATAGCTCACGTCTCTTTACTTCATTCCAACCTTGGAAAGGTTCATCTTCCTCTCTCTCTTTCCCTTCGTCTTCCCAGTCCGATTTCTCCAGTGGTACATGATATGTACTGCGAGGCTCACTGGTCATCTCCAATCGCCAGCAAAAGGGGACGGTCATCTGATTCAAAGATGAGAACTTGCTAATAGCCGAGATTAGCCACGATCCTATTCAGTAGTTCTTCAAGAAACTTGAAGATTTGAATTGTGAATTTTTGAACAGAAAAAAAAAATAGCAAATTCCTCAGGGTAGGCACCCGGAGATACCACGCCGGTGATATCTCGGTAGTTGATCGGGTGAGACTCGGTTCACAGTTTTCAAGTGGCCCTTACGTGACATGTCATGCTTATCTCAAGAAATTATAGATATAAAGTCTGCAAGATCGCCACGCAAATGCAGATCTAAGGAGTCCGAAATTTACAAATTATCAACGCAATGTCCAAGCGCAGTGATTCACAAGAATCTACTTCTGAAATGAGCAAGTCACAATTTTCCTGTGTGGAGGATCTCAACACAACCCAGGAGAAGTCACATCCTTCACCACTCCAGCGCTTAAAAAAACAATGGAAGGAGATAAAAAAGGAGTGGGGACCTCTCATGGCGGCTAAAGAGGACATGGATGACGAGTACACTTTTCCACCGGGTCGTTATTATGGGCAAAGATAGCTTGGCAACGGTGAGTAATTTGCAGCATACTACACGATGATCGAACGTGTTATCTCATTTTGGTTTGAGGAAACGTACAGGACTCGGTTTTTTTCGTCGAGATGGCAAAATGTGGAACTTTTTTTTTTCTGCCGAAAGAACGCCATTCCTAATACTTTGACGATCATAAACATGCAAAACAGGCGATTTTTCTACTATCAACCTGGACCCCAACTGCTTTTCACAAGCATCCCCTTCACGACATCGACGACACTTTTCAGAATATTGGCGTTTGCTTTGGGGAACCTTGGCGAGGAATCTTTCTCAACATGGCGTTTCGGCCTCATTTTGCTGGCGGACTTCGAGGGATGTTGAGGATTGAGCTGTTTCCCCAAGACATACATATCCCTCTCGATAAAGTATAACTCTTAAGATCACAATACAGATTAAATACATGATTCTCTCTTACTGCTACATCTATTGGTGCATCAACATTTCTATCTGTATTCCTATACCGGAGGTGCAGCAAGTAAGAGAATGGGAAGAAAATCAGAGACATAAAGAGAGAACGGAGGCAGGAGATGAACAGAGTCATTTCAGTTACCTAAGTCAAAACTGCACCCGCCACCCACAAGCGATGTTCGGTCGCAGGGATTGCATCCATCCCTAGACAAGGGGCAAAGGAGTTGAATGCACATTCTACAACTGCTCCGACGCGAAGCCAACTACAAAGATGTGAATTTTAGCTATTCACTAGCCTCTATGTAGGAGACAAGCACCTCAAACTGAAAGATCACCTCTTTTCCAATACGCTGAAGATTAATATTTTGGGCGCAACGCATTAGCCTGAGCATCAAGGCACAAATAGTGGATTAGTTGACTAACTAACTGACAATTAGCGGGACTCCCGAGTTCCGCAACACACGCTTAAATCTAAATTTAGAAGGACACATCGGACGTAAACGTGGGAAATAGGTAAAGGTCACGCACTTACTAGTCCTCCGTGGTCCTGGCCATAAATCATCGCCTTCATGTACAGGTGATACGAAGTATTCCGCAGCTCTATACGGAGAACTTACCAGATCAAGGTGATCATGTTCGTGTTCATCGTTTTGCTGTTTGAACATTAGTCTTGGACAGAGTCTAAACGTAGACATGATCATGTGCCGGAGTGTGTTCTCCTTTATGGCATGAATGATATCTGCGGCCGTTTTGTATCTGATCAGCACGGTTCGTGATCAGGTAGCGATGTTAAACACCTCATATCTGCGATTAGAAGCAACCTTTGAACTAAGATTTTAGCTGTGGTAAAATACTGACAGGCCAGTACGCTAGATGTTACGCTTGTGGTGTATATGGCCTTGTCAAGTCTATCATGGTCGGTAGGATATACGCACATCACAAGTCACTGGTCTTACAAGTCAGGGTATATTGAGGTCGCGTCGGTGTCTGAACAGTGATGTTAGTTTAACTACCACGAGGAAACGGTGCGCAAATATAAGTGGTTTTGTTATGCTGACATCAGGCTCGACGCGGCTCGATACGTGATGTACATCTTGAACGCAAGTTCGATGGTTCATTCTCGCAACTGCTCTGGATTTGACTTGAGGGGCGGCAATAATCTGCAAATATAAGAGAAGAATGAGGTCTTCGCTGCAGCAGGTGTTCTTGGACGAACAGGTCCGAGTTTAATCGATTACCCATTGGGATCTACTTGCCGTAATCTTCAGCCCAAGCCTTGTGGATATGACAAGATTTTATGCAATTCAGTTGCTAGCCCTTTGGCTGACGACGAAAGGATCAAACGAATCATCTGTTTTCATTTGCATAGTGGACAAGAGGGGCGAAATGAACGAAATGTGCAGAAGGGCTATGTGCATCCAACCTCCTTTTGAGTGTTGCTATTGATTGCTGTTCTCAAATTACTCAAGTCTCTTACTTAGCACGACACCGTACCAGATCGTAGCAACCAGGCTGACCAAGTTGACCAAGCTCGAGATGCCATGCACGCGACCGAACTTCTTGTTCAGGGCCAGCATCTCCTTGGAGTGAGGCGCCGGGTCGTAGCTCCTCTTTCCGTCACGGGTTTCTGCGAAGGTTAGAATTTTCAACTAACTTTTACCCGAAATATAGTACCAGCAGCCAACGCACCTTGATGCTTCCGCTCGCGCATCACCTTGGTGGTCATGGGACGCAACACGAACATATTCACCAATCCAGTCACTGTCACGGTTGCCAGAGGCAAGAGGGTGTTAAGGTGGTTCTCAGGTGCCGCGAGACCAGACAGGCCCAACACTTGTCCGTCATGGGAAGCGGTCAAAGCGACCACTATAGGCAGCGCACTTTGCAGTGAGAAATAGATGGGGAAGATGGCACTCTGCAGACTAGCGAACTGGGGCCGCGGAAGTGCACGGAAAGCAACGAAGCCTCCGACAAAAGACTTGAAATATGTCAGACAATACTTTTGGAGAGGACAATTCAATATGCGCCCGGTTCAGATATCGATCTCACCTGGTAGAACTGTGTCCCTAGAAGGGTGCCGAAGCTGCCTCACTTATTAGAACATAGGCTATGATTTTCACTAATTAACAAACCTTATAACATGATAGGGGCGAGGATCCATGATTTCAGATTTGTTTTGACCTCGGGAGAGTTAAGTTGGGGATTAAGTTGGAGCGAGGTTGCAACGAGGGGAAGAAGTGGATATAATCACCACAGCCCAATTTCTAGTAAAAACTTTACTTCCACTGCCAAATGGGCAGATATGTCGTATATCGACGCACGGACCGCCAAACACCAGCAAAGACGGCGGGTGACGTCATGTGATTTCGCGTTTCGGTCTAAACCGCAAGTGGAAATATCACGCGTCTGCCTGTTGTCTCGAGCCTCAAGTGGTTTCGACTTGCCATTTTCCAAACATTAACATCATCATGGCGGAGAAAGAAGCTACAGTTTACATTGTAGACATGGGACGGTCCATGGGTGAGCGACACCATGGCCGTGCTATGTCAGATCTCGAATGGGCCATGCAGTATGTCTGGGATAGAATCACCGCCACGGTATGTGACTTGACTTTGTTTAACGCCAGAGAACTGACTATTCCAGGTGGCTACCGGACGCAAGACGGCCACTGTTGGTGTGGTTGGTCTCAGAACAGATGGTGAGTGGTAGCCTACCAGTCAGCACCCATTGGGAACCTTGTCTCATGTTCGGAGCAGGAACTATCAACGACTTGGAAGAAGAGAACTTCTCTAATATCTCTATTCTCTTCGGTCTTGGCCAGTATGTGGGGCTTGATGAAATGACTGTTTAATGTTGAGTTACTTGACTAAATCATCTTGTAGGGTCCTCATGCCTGATATTCGGAAACTTCGAGAGACGATCAAACCCAGCAAGACTGACAGAGGTGATGGTATGTGCCAGTTGAAGTATTTCTAAGCTGCTAGTTCTGACTTTATACGAGCCATCTCCTCTATCATCATTGCCATGCAGATGATCATTGAGTACACCAAGAAAAACAAATACAAGCGCAAGATTGTACTGGTGACCAATGGTACCGGTGCGATGAGCGACGATAATATCGAAGGTATCATCGAAAAGATGAAAGAAGTCAACATTGAGTTGGTGGTCATGTATGTTTCTTGCCGCTGTTACTTTACATGCCATCCTAACACTATCTAGTGGTGCCGATTTTGATGACCCCGAGTATGGTGTCAAGGAAGAAGACAAAGACATTCGAAAGGTACCAAGCTGTCCTGAATGTTTTTGACCCATGTTAATGAAATTCCTCTCAGGCTGAAAACGAGAGCCTTCTCCGAAGCCTGACCGAGGACTGTGAAGGTATTTATGGAACGCTGGAGCAAGCTGTTTCGGAACTGGATACTCCCCGAATCAAAATAACCAAGAGCATGCCATCTTTCAAAGGAAATCTCATGCTCGGCAATCCCGAGGAGTATGACACAGCAATCACTATACCCGTGGAGCGATACTTCCGAACTTACGTCGCCAAGCCGATCTCAGCGAGCTTGTACGTGTTACGCTCCGGCAACGAGGCCGGAAGTCAAGCACCAGTCAAAGACACTAGTGAAGGCGATTCTCTCACCTCGGTGAGAACATCGCGGACATATCAGATCACAGATAAGTCTGCGCCAGGGGGTAAGATCGACGTTGAACGCGATGACCTCGCCAGAGGGTACGAGTACGGACGTACAGCAGTTCCTATCGAACAAACCGAGGAAAATGTCGCAAATCTACAAACCTTTGCTGGCATGGGGCTGATCGGGTTCGTTCAGAAGGATCAGGTCTGTCTCCATAGGAATCCCAATTGTTACAGCAGCTAACCCTGCCACTTAGTATGACCGGTACATGCATATGTCCAACACGAATATTATAATCCCTCAGCGTGCAAATGACAATGCGTCTCTTGCGTTATCTTCTCTTATTCATGCACTTTACGAATTGGAGTCCTATGCGGTTGCCCGACTGGTGACCAAAGAATCCAAACCACCGATGCTCGTTTTGCTAGCTCCATCCGTTGAGGCAGATCATGAGTGCTTGATCGAAGTACAACTTCCATTTGCAGAAGACGTGCGGTCATATCGGTTCCCACCTTTGGATAAGATCATCACTGTCTCTGGCAAGGTGGTAACGGAACACCGCAACCTCCCAAGCGCCGCTCTGAAAGATGCGATGAGTGATTACGTGGACAGCATGGATTTCGTTACCACGAATGATGAAGGGTAATCAGAGCTTGTTTGATTATCCAGCAAACCAGCTAATAAAGCCAGGGAACCCACGGACGATCTCCCAATTGACGAGTCATTCTCACCATTACTACACCGCATCGAATCAGCCGTTCGATACCGTGCTGTGCATCCCAACGATCCTGTCCTTGACCCCTCAGAGCGACTCACGGAATTCGCACAACTCTCAGTAGACATGGTCAAGAACTCCAAGTCCCATCTTGAGAAATTGATGTCTATAGCAGATGTTAAGAAAGGCGAGCCTGTCTATATCTACAC